TATAAAACATTCTTTGTTAACACAATACTCAGAATGTCTTAGGAATTCAAAATTTTGGTGCAACATCTCCAAAACAAAATTTCAACTGTTACAACAGTTTAATATATATTATGGAAAATAATTCACATTTAACAACTTATAAAAAATTAGGCTGGGTTTAAAAAAAAATTATTCGCATGTGGTTTAAGATTATCGGCGTAATTAGATTATTAAGTATCTATTTTAAGTTAATTTAATATTATAACAATTTTCGACATTGTTAATTAAAATTAATTACTAATTTAATACGCCAGTTTGTAAGGAAAAAAAATACTTATCGGTCATCCGGTCCCTGGATCCAGGACCTAGTAGCCCTAAAACGTCTACCTAAAAAAAACGTGCTACCTTTAAGAAAAAAATTACGAGACTGGCTAACGCGCTCTGCGTCGAAAATTCGAAAAAAAGGAGGGAGAAAAACAGCGCCCTCTGGCAAGCTCTGATAGGCTCTCATACCATTACGCCACTCCTCTTCAGCCATTTACTGCCTGTTGGGGAATAATCATTTGCGAAGGGACTTAAAACTAAAAAAAGGGGGGAAATCGCTTGCATGCGACCCAGCCACCAGCCAATTGTACAAAACAGATTAAAACATTAAAAATAAAATAAAAATAGTTTTAACAATTCAATTAATGGTTTGTGATGTCTCGATTTTTTTTTGTTTATAAAAATTTATGTACCGGTGAAAATTAATATATAACAGTTAAACACATAGGGCATTTACTTTTCAAAAGGAAAACTAATAATATTTGTACCACAACTATCTGCTTTTTCATAGTTCTAGATATACAAGATGTATTTAGAGCATTAATAAGGAAATATAATATATTAGATTGAAATGGTAATAGGAGTGTTAACTTTTGAAGATGTTTAAATTATTTTCAGTTAATTTATCAAAATTTCTATAAAAATTAAATGGTAGCAAAACAAAAGTTATTAATTACCTGGTATTAAAATACTATCAAAACCTGAATTGTAACCAATCCCCAACACATCTTCATAAGGACAAAACTGAACATCAGAGACCGTTGATGTAATTCTATGACGCAAATATGGAGTTTTAACAGTATTTCTGCAACAACCTTTATACACCTAAAATATTTAATGAATTTGCAGATACTCAACAGACAGAACATAACATTTATAAATTTTAAAAATATAAAAATAAATGTACCTAAAAATCATGAAATATAAAACAAAGATTAAAGGTCTACAAAGCTAAATTGTATCTCGTTTACATTTGGAATATGCAAAACATTACTTACAACAACATTTCATGGTTTTATAATGTACTAGATTCTTTGTCAATTTCTAATAATTTACTGCTATGGATTAAAGTTAACTTGAATTCACATAAAAATGATCAAGCTAATTGAAAAGTAAATATTTTTTATAATTTTAAGCATCATTAAAAATAAACTCAATTATCAAAAAAGCAAAATGCTATAAGAATAATATTATAATTTGAAATAGCAAAGTAAATATTTTAAAATAGCTTGGTATTTTTTTTCTAAAGATGCCCACTCAGCAAAAAATTTATCTCTGAAATAATCACTATTCCTGAATTTGAATTGTAGATTTCGTGAAACAGAAGAAAATATAGAAATAGAAATAAGACTAAATATATTTTAATTTGATAACAGCACATAATTTGTGACCGCTTTAAACTCCTTGAACTGCCAACTAGTACAGCGTTGTTAATATTTCTCAAACAATAAACCATTTTTTTTCCTGTTATTAAACAAGAGCAATGCTTGACTGAAAAATTTGCATAACAAGTTTACCTAATAAATTAGACTGACTTAGATAAAATGAAACACCTTCTGTGCATATAAAATCTAAATTAAAAAACTTTCTGCACACTTTGATTAACTCTTGTAACTAGTTATACCTCTTCTTTTAGCCACGTCATTTCGGCAAAATTTGTTTGAAAATCATGGATTTTTGCAAAATTGCTTAATTTTAATAGAACTTTATATTGATTCTTATTACATGGAAAAGTTTAGTAAAAAATTGAAAAAGCTGAAAACAGAAATCTAAAAATGCTATGTTAAAATTAAAAAAAAAATACATGAAATTTGAGTATGAAAAAAAGTAAGTAAGAAGCATTTACCCACAAAATGTTATCAACGCTTTAATAAAAAGAAATCAACGTGAGATTTTAGTTATTTATTTAGGTTGCGTAATTATGAATCTCAATGTGTAGTTTTTAACTCATGTGAATACAAATTTTGATATTTAACTTAAAAAAAAAAAATGTGAATATGAATAGTGATGTTCAATTTTAAAATAGCGTTAATGTGAATATCAATGTTTGATTTTAAATTCGCGAGAATATGAATCTCAATATCTGATTTTGAAATCATGAGAACATGAATCTCGATGTTTCATTTAAAAATAGCGAGAATACGAACATCGATATTTGATTTTAAAATTTCGTGAATGTGAATCTCAATGATTCATTTTAAAATCACCCTAATGCGAATCCCAATACTTGATTTTAAAATCACAAAAATACAAACCCTGGTATTTCATTTTAAAATCGTGTGAATACAAATTCTGATATATAATTTTTAAGTCACTTGAACTCGAATCATAATAGTGTCTTATAAATTGAGAGAATACAAAATGCAATATTTGATATAAAATTATGAAAATACGAAACAAGATGCCAGATCTTATATCACGTAATGTGTGATTCTAAATCATGTGAATGTAATTTTAAATTGTGTTTGCAATGGTAGGATAAGGCATAAAAAGGAATTTTCTTCTTCTTCTCGGGTATTCGAAAGGACAAACTTTCTTTGAAGAGGTGGATATTTTTCTTTTTTAGTAATAGTAAAAAATTTCTGTAATGATGACAAGTTTTCCACTAATTGAGTTTGTGTGCATGTGCATATTACATAGATTTGGAGGTAGGCCATGGTAAAACTAAATAAAAAAATTTCTTAAATCAAGATGTTTTTATTTATGCTTACTTCTACAACACTTCCAATACCCACAGCTAATGCATCCGTTTGGCTGAAATCCAAGAATCCAGCAGCACCTTTTAATTTGTATGACTGCAAGCATTTATATGTTCGAACATCAAATATTTTTAGAGTTCTGTCAGCACCAGCTGTAGCAATGTACCTTCAGTGCAATTAACTTATGTCAGTCATGTAAAAGCAGTAAAAAAATTAAAATTTCAAAGAAAATTAAAAAAAAAATCTTACAATCCTTTAGAATCAACAGCAAGAGCTCTAATTGGATGGGCATGACATAAAATCCTTGCAAGAGGCTTATCAACATTTGGCGACCACATGCTTACTGAACCTAAATTTTTGAAATTAAAATGACTATTATATATAACAAGAATATATATGTTTTGTAATTTGATTTTTCAAACTTTATGCCATCTAGAATCTAAATTTATTTGTTAATAACTGTCATAAGTTTTAAAAAAATCTGTTATATTCTCACCATTTGGATGACCAGTTACAAGAACAGCATTGTAAGGATTTTGTTTCATTACATTTAGTCGACCAGCATTAGTATACAGTTCCTTTACCATTTTACCAATAGAAACATCTAACCATGATACAAATCCTTTTTCACTCTGAAACGAAGAAAATTATTCACATGAAACATTTTGGGAAGTATTGTTGCAATAATTTTACCCATTCCTCCCCTCCCAAAAAAAACAAACCCAGGTTAGTTTAATTTTAAAAAAAAACCAACCTGACAGTGGGTTTCTTCATAATTGCATTTCACATACCTCCCAACATTGGAAAAATAAAATAATGGAGATTTTGCTAGCGAAATTTTTTAGGCTTTTAGTAAAGTTTTGATACATCATGCATAATCTTGTAAGTTAAAAAGAGAAACTCAAAATTGGAAATAATATAAGCATTTACAGTTAACAAAAAGATGTCTATAAATCTTAATATAAAGATGATTTTTTCAAACCATTATTTGTAATTACTTAAACTATTTTATTTTATAACCGTTGTTGACCATGTATTTCTTTTATGAAACTATTAATTTTCTATATGAAATTCTATTATTTCTTTCGCATGAAACCTATTATAAAGAATGTTTGTTTTTGTATTTTATTTCATAACCGTCGTTGGACAGCCGACCAAATTTTGAGTTTATGACCACTAATGATCAACTCCGTAGCCTTGTAATTTTGAACACAATCCAGAAGACAAGGGAACTCCTGGATCAGGTATTGGGAGAAATTTTCCTTCGTGGAGGACTTTTTGATGGGACTAAACCACATTTGAGTTACACGAAAACTAGACTAGGTGGCAAAGGGACTTTAATCCGTGACCCCTCTACCACTGAGGGTATTTTATATCAGAACTGTGGTCCGTGCAAGCTGGATGCGGAATTTGTATCGACTAGTCATCACTGGGATTCGAACCTGGTTCATCTCATTGGAAGGCAAATGCTCCATCCCCTGAGCAATCATGGCTCAATTTAAACTATTAACAGTCAACATACTGCAGTACTGGCAATAGCACCATCTGTTGAAGAATAAGTGAAGTATCTTTGCCATCAGTGGATATTTTATCACCAAAAATATTCTTTAAGAGATACGGAGAAATTTGAGAATATACGGGTAAGTTGTAAAATACACGAATCTTCGTTAAAAAACAGGAGACTTGGCAGATATGATTTTTTATTAACAGATTAGCTCAATTCCATACATTGAAAAGTTTATATTTCCATTACTTCTATATTCTACTGTGCTTGAAAATTTTTAATTAACCTTTTTAAAAACATATATAACTATAAATTGCAAACAATGTACAAAAGTATTTTAACAAAAACTTGAGAAACTAATTCACAATATTATTGAAATCATCGTTATAACAATATATGCAATAAATATTTTAGAATCACAATTCAACAAAATGGGGAAATTATTTATAAAAATATTTTTTAAATAATATTTTTTTCAGACCTATAAGTCTTCTTATATACAGTTTCAAATGAAATTTTTTTAAATATAGCAAATTAACACAATTATATTAAATTAATGGTATTTAAATTGTAGCAAGACAAGATTTACTCTAAGATTATAAACAATAGTAAAAAAACAATGAAATCCTGAAACTCCAAAAAAGCCCAGTAGGTTAGATTTTTCCTGAAAAAAACCAATACAACCCTGAGTATTTTGATTTTGAGCTTGTTTGTATTGTTATTACAGACGTTTTAAATTAAAGTCAATAAAAGGAACAAATAATTTTTCTTTACAAGAGATGATGCTATTTCCTTAACAAACAATTATGTATTTTACATAAGTACATTTGCAATTAAAATATCAGAAATACACTATTAATTACTCAGATTCCTGCTTTAAGATTCAAACTTCTAGTTGATTAAAATGTCAAGAAGTGATAGAGCTTTTCCAGATTATAATCCCAACAGTGAACTTATTAAGCAATTGCCAGAATTTGCATAATTGTTGTGAATTAAAAGATAGATAACCAGCAGGAGGGATTTCAAGATATATCATCAAATCAAAGACACATAATTTTTTTCTAATAAATATTATAATCAAAATACTTACAGATGTCGCTAATAGAAAATGATATGGTAAAAATTCCATTTGTAAAACTCTACTAAGCCTTTTGATGCAATGAAGTTCGACTCCTTTATTGTCATATATATAAACCCATTCTTTTTGAGCAGTAGCAAACATAGTAGGTAAGTGGAGATAACAAAGATCGTGAACAGATTCCATGACATTTATCTCACAATGAAGCCTTTTGGTAACCCAATCCATAGCAGCAACATGTCCTCTGCGGCCACCAAGCAAGAGATGCCTGAAAAAACAATTTAAAGACTTAGTTAATTTCATAGAATTCCTAGACAAAATAATATTTAAAATTTTTCAAATTAAAATATTTAAAGGAACTTTAGATGAAATACAGTCAAACCCCGTTAACACGAAATCGTCGGGACCACCGAAATTTTTCGTGTTAACCGAATTTCGTGTTAACCGTTTAGGTAGTGGCGGCATCTAGTCAACAATTATTGAACTACTAAACAATTACTTATATATTACAGTTCTTAAAAGTTACTAATGAAGACATATTGCAAATTTAAGTGAATTTAACATAAAATTAAAAATACTAAAAACAATGAACATTTAAAAATAACTTGAAATTTGGAGAAGAAATAATGAAGTGAATTGAACGCCAAATTACGAATTTATTTATCCGTTACGGAATCAAGGTTGAAAAAAGTCAGTTATTGACTTCTGTTTTAATTTCTTAAGATAACACTTATTAATAAAGTCATTTATATGTTCTAAGTTATCTAATGCATCCATAGCATTTTCTTGTTGCATGAGGAAACGATTAATTACTTTCATTGCACATGTCGCCTCATTTAAAGTAACTGGATTTTCTTGTTCAATATCGGACTCTTCATCAGTTGTATCCATGTCGACATCATCATTTTTCGCCGATAGTTCAGCGATTATGTCTTGATCGGTGGTTATATCCGATGTTAGCAAATCTTCGTCTATAGTGGTGTAGTCTTTGAACAAAGGGGCTGATAGAATCCCGCGTTTTTCCGCTTCTTCGATCAAATTAGTCAACGTTTCTGGTTCTGCTTCACTTATTTCTTGAAGATTCATTTCTTTTCCATCTGTGAACCCACCGCACTTGAAACTGTTTATAATTGTTTCAGAAGAAACATTGTTCCAAGCACATTTTAAGTATCTCATTGCGTCTAATAGATTTACAGAAAATGTAATTTTATTATCAAAGCAATGGATCATCTTGCGTACCATTTCTTTTCTGTATTGCACCTTCAAGCTATGAATGATACCTTGATCGCACGGCTGAAGTTTTGCTGTGGTGTTAGGAGGTAAAAAAACACATTTAATCGCTTTTAGTCCGTGAATATCATTATGAGCACTACAATTGTCAAGCATCAAACAAATATTTCTTTTTTCCCGAAATAGTTTCCTGTCCAAGTCTGTTAACCATTTCTTAAAAAGCATTTTATTCATCCAGGCTTTCTTATTTGAAGCATATACAACGGGTAAAGTTTTTAAGTTCTTAAAACAACGTGGGTTCGCTGATTTACCTACGACAAACAAGGGCAATTTTTCGGTCCCATCCATATTACAAGCGACCAAAACAGTAATTCTCTCTTTAGAGCATTTTCCGCCGGAGCATTTTTCTCCTTTAATGCTCAATGTACGGGAGGGCAATGCTTTGAAAAAGAGTCCCGTTTCATCAGCATTGAAAATGTCACGTGGCGCGTAATTTTTCCTAAGAGCAGGCCACTTTTCAGACAAAAATGATTCCACAGTCTCCTTATCTACAGTTGCTTCTTCGCCACAGATTTTATGACACACAATTCCATGACGCTTTTTGAATCGTGTTAACCAACCGTTTGAAGATGCGAAATTTGTCACGCCGAGAGCATCCGCAAAAACTTTTGCTTTTTCTTGCAATACATGACCCGTTAAAGGCAGATTCTGACTCCTTGCTTCACGCACCCATCGCAAAAGCGCTACTTCGATCTCCTCATTTCCCCCTGTTCTCATTCGCTTTCTAGCTGGCTCAAATTGATTGATAGCATATGCGACTTCAATTTTTTCACGATTTTTTATAATCGTAGATAGCGTGCTGTTGGGAATTCCATATTTCGTCGCGATCTCTGTTTTCTTTAATATTCCATCACAAACTTCATTCAAAATTTTTTGTTTAGTCTCTAAGGACAAGGATTGCTGTTTTCGACTCATTTTTACGAAATTTCAAGGGCAACTGACAGTCGGACTCTACCACGATCATGTGTGCTTATGCACTACTTTCCACCCCCTTCCACGCACGTGCAAAGAACATTCCGAAACAGAATAGCAGCAACCAATCAAAAGAGATAATTATGGAAGGATGGGACCTCGATTCGAGGGTAGGAGTAGAAATTTCAAAACACTAATTCCAAACTCTTGTAAAAGAAGAAATTTTGACTTGGAGTGAAAAAAATTCTTTTCGTCTTAAGCGGTATTTTGCGATTTGGGTTTCGCGTTAAAAGAATTAATTAACACTATTCTTCAGACTCGATCGACGGGACCTAACAATTATTTCGCGTTAAGCGAAATTTCGTGATAAGCGATTTCGCGTTAACGGGGTTTGACTGTATTAGGAAAATACTAAGAAGAAATTTTTTAAAAAAACTTTTTATCATCTGGTAAAATTTTATTTTTCAAAAATTAAGAACACGATAAAATTGTCATAATCATCACTATGACACATGGAATTTATTTTTCTACTTTTCATTAGCTTTTAAATGAACATTTCGTTATTATTATTTTTTGTTTACATTTATCAAGTTTGTTCTCTGTTCACTCAAGAATGTTTGCTTTTATACAACATATACACACAATGGTCAAAATTAGCAAGTAAATTTTAAGCAATTTCCACGAACAAATTATATTTTCCTTAGGCAACTAATGACTAGACTAATGGTCAGCAACCTATGACCCACAAGTCCACTAGGTATTATATTTAACGCATGACAGATTATTCCATTAATATAATGTTTTTATTTTCAGTATATTATAATAATACGTAATCTTAAATAGAAATAATGTGACACATCAGGAAAACTTTTTTTGAAATAAACTTTGTTACTTAGTCACAATGCAAAGTTTCAGACAATATCCAAAAACAGACATAATAATATTTGTAAACATAAGGATTTTTATTTATTCAGATTTTTCACTTTTCAAAAAGTTAAAAAGAACCATTCATTAAATGTATCCAGCAACTATCATACAATCTCAGTAAGAACAAAACAGAAAAATAATTTGCTTTTAGATTTACACAAAAAGCTTACTTAAAATAATTAATTGATTTAATTGCTACTTAAATAAAAATCTACTTTTCTAACTATTTTGAAAAAACTGCTTTATTAAAGTTATGACAATCTCTAAAATAAGTTATGTCAAGTTTTAAAATTTTTGATTTTGACTATATTTTAGAAGTAAATAGTACAAACTATAGAATGACCGAAAAAGATTTAATAGACATTTTGCAGGTTTTTAGTTTTATTACAAGCAAAATCATTAAAACCAAGAAGGAGGATAAAAAACTAGGTATAAAATAATAGATATTACAATATGCAGACACAGATAATAAACAATTAATAAAGCAAGAAAAAAAAAAAGCTTACAAACACAAAAAATATGCATTCTATTACCTTCCATCTCTTGAATAATTTATCTTATATGGTCCAAATTCAGTCAGGGATAGATTAAACAACTGTAAAATAAAATGTAAAAATAAATTCCACATTTATTATCATATTTAAAAGAGTGTTTGTAGAAATAAATTAATAAGAATTATTCTTTGCTTTGAACTTACAAAGTGATAAGCAAATAAGCAAACGTATTTAAGCGAGGGAAAAAAAGAGTCATTAGCATTATAATACTATGTTAAATGTTAAACAGGTTGTAAATTCATGAATTACATTTTTTAGGAAAGGAGGGAATATATATATAAATATGTATATATACCAGTGGTGCGCAAACTAGGGGTCGTCAGAAGTTTTTTGGGGGTCGCCAAATTTTTATGAAATGCATTATCCCTGCATGCAGCATACTATACAGTGTACATATAAAGAGTGAAGCGCCGCCACTAACTGTTTAATTGCAATTTCATGCTGTCCACTCTTTCCATGACCGTAATGCGTAATGTATTCTCTATCTGGCTATCCGTGGAAAAACAATATCCCGTTTTATGCAAGAATGCCATCATAGTGTTAATACAATTTGCATCAACGTATTTATGTGAAACTGGATTTAGCAAACTAGTTTCAATAAAAACTAAATACCACTCGCGTTTAAACCCTGAAGATGGTATGCGAATTGCAATTAGTAACATACATCCAAACATCGATGAGATAATTAGAAACTTGCAGCCACATACATCTCATTAAAGGGCAATTACTGATTTTTGAATTATACAAAAAGTATTTTCTTAAAATTATAAATAAAAATTAATATGAGTTAAATATGATGATGTTTTTATTCGATGAAACGAAAGAAATGCGCGAAATATACATCGTATTTGTGAACATTTATCTCTAGGGGTCACCGAAAATTTTCTCTCTACAAAAGGGGTCGCAGTCGAAAAAAGTTTGCGCACCACTGATATATACGATATGAGGCATACAAATTATATGAGAAAAATAACTAGTTAGAAAAAAAGTAGAACCAAATAATAAAGAATAGAGAACTTATGTCAAGATTTTTATTGATTATTTATTTAAAAAAAAGTTTTTTCGTTACTTATAAAATAAAAAAATACATATATTTACAGAATTACCTTAGAAGCACTAGTAATGTCAACTTCAGCAGCAATCTCATGTTGACTGATTCTATAGGTATCTTCATTATCATCAGGTTCAAGATAACTATTAAAATTTATTTAGCATATTTTAAAGTGAATTTTAAATTATTCAACAGCATAAAATCTAGAAAAAAATTTAATTTCCAGAGATATAATTAATAACAAAGATTTTCTTAAAAATAAACAATATGAACAGGTACATTGAGAGAAAAGCACGGTTTCCTTCAAAAAAATGTATCTTTATATTCTGCTTATTTTAAATCAAGGTGAGCAAGTTTTAAGGTTTAATTAATAATAATCCAAATGTTTGCGTATACAAAGCAAGATAATTACCCAGATTCTTCTGTTAACAGCAATTCATTTCTTGCAGCATCTCTTACAGATTTCCGAATCTTTTTATCAGCTTTAATCAGGTCTATTTTGTGTAGTTTACTTTTAATTCCCCTCTAAATAAATAAAAAAAAAATGTAAAAATCACATTTATAATAGTTTTACAGAAAACAATGAATAGTAATTTGAAATATAGAAGGTTTTTAAATTATTGCATGGTTCTTATTTCCTTCATATATTTTATAAGCAGATTCAATAATGAAATTTGCATTTTTTAAAATTGAAATAGTTATAATCTGTTTACTAGGAGTATCTCATTGATATCAAAATAATGAAAATATAAAATGAAATTAATAAAAAGAATAAAACATTATTGAAATAATTATTTAAAATAAAGACTTTTGGATACATTTTCATAGATCATAATATGAATGTAAGTTTATAAGAAGATGATCATTATCACAACATTTAAAAAGCAAAAATGTGCCTAATTCTCAGATAGATTCAAAAATATTATTGAAAGATAATGATTTTTTAAAATTTCTTCCCTATTTGTAATATTAGACAAATTAAAAAGAAAGGAAATTACTATTATGAAAAAGTCAAAATTGGCAGAATTGACAGTTCAGTTAATTTTGATCTTCTATCATCCTATCTGATCTGAAATTTCAATTTTTTCTTTATTATTCTGTGCAAAGGATCTCTAGATTTTCAAAGATTATGAGTGCTACATAGTTAACTTTTAAAATTATATGGTATATGCATGACAAAATTCAATTTTAATAATACTGCATTTCACCAATATGATAAAAAAAATTAAATATCCTTAATTATAAAACAATGTACAATTGACAATTTTTTGTAATTATGAACACATCTACAACCAGGGTTGGCAGGTTTTTGACATGTGACAGTTTTTGACAGTTTAAACCATGGTTTAAACCGTCACATCAAAAACCTCACTGTCAAAAATGTCGAAAATGTCAAAAACCTATATTCATATGTAAAATTAAATTAATATATAAAATTTATATATTTTTTATAAAGGATAGTGTTTCTAAATATGTTCTAGAAAAAATAAATTTAAAATTTTGAAGAAACACTTATATTTTGAATAGTAACCAAAATCTTGTACTTTTGAAAGCTCACATCTTTTGTATTCATTATCTTTTGTATTCAATATTATGTATTCATTTTCATGTGTTATTGAAAATCTGCAGTGATATTATTAAGAAATTTATTTATAACCAAATTTAGTGTATAGTATAGATTATACTAAAAATTAGACATTTTTAAAGATAAACATTAGCAGTTTTGCACATTGGACATCTTTTAAAGAAAAATCTTTGTAATATTCCTTTAAATTTTCTTAATAATCTTTTTAACATAAGACAATACAAATTTAAGTGCTTTCTGTTAAATACACAGAGTAGTTAGTGTCGATTTACAGTATATTCAGCCTATTCATTTACTATGCTGAAAATTTAGTTTATCCAAATACTTGTGAATTTCATTTTGCTGAATACTATATACATAGTTTTGTTGAATATCTAAATATTCAGCTGTTGAATAATTACTTCTTGCTTTCAAGATATGCATTATTTGTATTCTTAATACAAGTGGGGGGGAAAAAATTAAGAGGTAAAAATTGTCTTAAAATGATAAGTGTAATAATTATAAATAAATATAATAAACAATATGAATTATATTTATCATTATTCACAAATATAACTACTTTTAAATTCAAATTAACATACTGGATAATAAAGATATTCGGTATAACATAAAAATTTTTTTTCATACACTTGTATCAAGTTTGTATTTATACAACCATAACTTGTAAGTTCCTTATAAATATTAGTTATATGTTCCTTATATGTCAAAAATGCATAGTAATAAACTTTTAATTTTCTTAAGTATCAAAGAAAAAAAATTTTATTTTCAAAATATAAATATTTAAAAAAATTTTGTGCAAAATTTTTCGCACATGTATTTGAATATAAATTTCTGAGATTTTAAATCTGTTATTTTACCTTCATTTTAATTAAAAAATATTTTAAAACCTGCTGATTACCTATAGTATAATTAAATTTCAATATAATGCATGGTAACTGTTGGTAGTTTTGAAGTTTATATATTTTTTTGGCAAACTTTAGTTTTTGACATTTTTGACGGGTTTTTGACGGTTTAAACCAGTATTATACCCTTGTCATGTCAAAAACCACTTTTTGACGTCAAAAACCCAACCCTGTCTACAACCATTAAATTTTTTACCAGCATTAAGGTTAACATTAGTCAACATTAAGGTTAAGCTGTAAAATTTCCCATATATAATGGCTTACCATAAAAACTCTCTCAACATGCAACTTTTAATTACTCAGTTTAGAGCATAGCAGAACTTAATTTGGTAGCAGTAAACCAAATTTTATCAAAATAGTAATAGCTTAACTATTTGTTTCATTATACAATGTTTTATATCTAATATCTTACCTTCTATTATCATTAATTATTAAGATATAAAAATCATAGGGAAATCGCTTACAAAATCAACTCTTTCTCCTCTTTTGTATTTCTTAAGTTTTTCTATAGGTACAGGTGGAGCGCCATGATATGGATCAAAAGAAGTATTCTCAGTTTCAAAGTGAGACATAATTACATAAGCTAAAAAAATAATAATAAGTCAATACTATTGAAAACAACGACATAATATATAGGGCATAAAATTCAAATAAATTAAGATTTTAACAAGCATACTCAAAACTGAAGCAGTATCGAATTTTGAACATCAACATAAAATCAGATGAAATGCAATAAAAAGGAAAAAAATAAACTTGTTTCAAAATAAACAGGAGCTTTAAATCGATATATACCTGTTAATAACTGCTGAAAGTGACTGACAAATTTTACATTACATTAACATGTGTACAAATTTAGTTTATTTATTTTCATTTTCTTGTGCACTTTCCACAAAATAATTCAGATTCAAATAAGAACTTTTTCAATTAGAAAAAACTGAAACTTCGTGAACGGAATATTTTAACAAATAACGAATGCGTTATAAATAAATTATACGAACATTTAAGTTTAGAAAGTTGATAATAGTTGGTAAACTCGAACAGGCTTTTTTGATGCTGCCAAATATAAATTACTGAGTTATTTTTAATAATTTCATTTATATTCTAAATAAGATACAGTGAATTTAAGAGTCCTATCTTTCATTACACATATTATTTTACCTCAATTCATTCTTTGATAGTATTACTTTGCTATTTTATAATAGAATATAAAATATTACATCGATTGTGTACACCTATCGATTAATTTTTTAACTGATAGTGAAACAAAAACCGGCAATGGGTAGTATGTTTTCATTTATTGTTATGATGCCCAGATTTTGAAAAATGCCAGGATTTTTGACTTGTGGGCCAAATGAAGCATTAGTAGTTTCAGGTATTTAGATTTTTGTTCTTTAGACATCACTTTTTGTATGTTTGAATAATAAATTTTATCTATGTCGAGATATTTTCCCCGTGTATCCATATGTATTGAATGTTTCTTTTAAGTAATTGGAAAAAATAAGTTATATCTATATCAAGATATTTCTCCCATGTACTGTCATATATATTGTATGTTTCTTCCAAATAATTGAAGGAAATTATCAGTGTGACTAAATAAATTTGATTAAATAATTTCTGTATTCCGATCACTTGACATGTTTATTGTTTGGTTTGTTTATTAATTTACGAAATCATGGATATGACTTTCAAGCCAAAGGACAATTTTCAAAATTACTTTAAATATTATTTCGTTATTTCTACAAATTATATTTAAAAAAAATTTATTTTCTGCAATCAAACACATTCCGTAATTTGTGTATAAATCTGGAAACACCTTTGTGTTTAGATACTGAGTTAGTTGACTAAGTTACGTTAGACTTGGAAGTTGTTTGACACTTTAGTCAATCACTATCTTTTTTTTTCTATGTATATATAATTATATTTAGAGAAAAATAATGATTTGACCAAATTGAATAAATTCATTAATTAATCATTGCAATGACTTATTTTTTATTGTTCTTAGTATTAATTTTCCTGATTTAATGTAGAGACTAGATACCAGTATTTTCATCAAAATGATTGGAAAGTTGTGGCAACTTCCTATCAGGGGCACACGAGATACTTTTTATTTATGAATTGCGAAATTTTTTTTTACTTGTGTATTTCAGTATTTGTAAACTTTTATCATTAAACTTTTTTATTTATGATTGTCTATCTAGGATGCTGTTTGCAAAACCCAACCATTGTCCCTGGAGGCCGTGTCTTTGTTTGGCCATTTATTCAAAGAGCCCAAAAGTATGTTTTATTTCTTTTGAAACTGTTGTTTGCTTAGCAGTATTTTTATAAAATTACAAACATTATTCTCTTTGGGAAATTTTTGTTGCTTTATAAATAAAAAGATAAAAAACATTTCTTAATTAATGAACTTCTTAAAAATTTAAGTTTTGTAACATTTTATGTTAATGCTGTTTCATAATTAATATTACTTTTAATTCTTTGAGAATAAATCCTGAAGTTATGGATTGGATTTAAGCTGCATGCTTCCTAAAAGCTTTCTTTTCCCACAGTGTTTCATAGGAAAATAATGTCTAACATAGAATAATTTAATACATAGAATTCAAGAATAATTTAAAGTTTAACACTTGGAGGGTTAATTAGTTTTAATGAGAAATATTTAATAGCAATTTATATATTTCATTGTGTTCTGTAAGTTAAAATGCTATACTGTAATGTTCATTGTTTTGAAGAAGTACTCTCATTTTCTTATAAAATGGTTACATCTTGTACGTATGTATGTATGTGTGTGTAAAAAACTGTTTATTAAAATATAAACTTGCATATTTTACTTTTGATCGTCATATATTGAAATATTAAAGAAGAAGTTATTGAAATAAAATATTAATAAAATTTTTTACTCATTTTATTTGTTTTTTATCGAACACAATATTTATAATTTTGTAAAAATAGTTTCCTCTTAATGAATTCTATAATTAATATCTGAATAATGATACTTTAAAATGTGATTTGGAAAAAAAAAAAACACTTTAGGAAGTGCTAAAAAGTTTGTTATGAAAATAATAAAATTGTTGAAAAGTGTGATGAGCTCTCTGCGTTAACTTGTATTGCCATATTTTTTTCCCTTCCAGATTAACGTTAAATACCATGACTCTGTCTATCGAAAGTCCCAAAGTATACACACAGCAAGGAGTTCCAATATCAGTTACTGGAATAGCACAAGTATTTCTATTTTATTTATTTCTTCAAGTTGCAGTTATTATTAACTTTAGCTTATGTTAATATTGTATGCTTTTATGTAAAGTTTGCATAGCTTTTAATTATGTATATGTGTATAATAATTATAATCTAATTTTTTACTATACAAAACTTTTGTATTATGAATTTGAGTTGGTAAAAACCCACTTTTGTTACATACTTGTTGTTTCTTTAATTATTAAATTTACTAATGAATGCAGCAGATCAATTTGATGAAATCTGAGGATATTGATCCATGTTAATGGTAGATAATACTCATAATTATGAATTAATAACAAATTTAAAAGTAAAATTAATTTAAAGGATTAATTATGAGTGTAATACTTCTTTATTTTTATTTTCTTTTGAAAATAAAATATGAAAACTTTTGAATAGAAAGTATAGCTTTAGAAAAATCTACTTTTCTTCTCCTATATATTAGCATTGAATGTAAAGAGACTAATATGTTGTTTTTTACAATATCTTTGTTTAATATTGCATTTTAAGTGGAATTACAGTCTACTCTTTTTAGTTAGATCTACATCTACCCTTCCTTTATAATAAATGATGTATTAAGCCCTGTTTGCCATACCATTGACACAATGCTATGTTGATGTCGGTTAGAATGTCCACACTGTTCATTCCACGACTTTTGTCATTAAGATTTAGAAAAAGTTTCAAATGAATTATTTAAACCATTATTTCCTTTGATATTACCACACGGAAAATGTAAAACACTTTGAATCCCTTTTGAATGAAGTGTAACATGATCCCCTATATTCCTATCTTGAATATTAGGTTGATGCTATTTGTGCTTATTTGTAATCTGTGTAATTTTCTTTTCAAAGGATACAATAAATTTATCTAACGTAAATCTATCTTTTCTTGTTCGAAAATTATATTTATACTTTTTGTAAAACATCCGTCCCCTTGTGTGGTTAATTTTCAAGTTTAAACATGTGGTCTTCACAGTTATCTTGATTTGTGTTTTTTCTCCCCACACTAGCATATTATTTTTAATGCATTTTCACCAATGAAGTATTATTTTAAAGGGTTATTTTACAGATATAATGTAGAAGAAAAGTTGCATTGTTAAAATTTTTTCTGTTATTTGCCAAATTTCTACTAAGGAAAGCATTAGGTACTATGTTTGAATTGGTTAAGTCTTTTTTTAACTTTGTGTTGATACTAAAGGTATTTTTGTGCACTAATGATACAACGACTTTTCAATCTAACATCTGTTTTCCCCAGGACCACAAATGTCCTTATTTTGCGTGCTGACTGTAATACATATATTTCTTTAGCTACATTCATCAACAATAACTGTGTTTTTTTTACACACAGCAAGGAGTATACACACAAGGAGTATGAAGTAATTTTCATTTCAGAATGTAGCTTCTTTGTTTATGAGTTTCAAAATTGCTAATATTCTAAATTTTAGGTGCTGTGCTATAGAAAGATTTTAATTTGAACTTGACTTATAAATGTATTTTCATATTTATGTAATTATTTTTTATTTAAAAGAACTTCTCAAGTTCTAAAAAAGATATTGCTAAATTAACAACATTATAATGTTTCTGTGTATTGATTGAGGAGCGACACAACTGAAATAAGTTGAATATTGAGGAGAGTAAGTTAAATATTATTTCTCAAAAAAGCAGAAGCTGTTAAGGGGGAAAAATAAAATGAAAGCCAATATGATCTTTTTTTCTTCAGTCAGTCAGTCAAAGATTAATTTCTTATTCTATATAAGTTTGTCATTTAGCATACTTTCACTTAAACCGTACATTTTCAATGGTCATTGCCTCTATTGTTGTATGGACTACTTCTATGCTTTATAGTGCTGTTATGTAATAGCAATTATATAAAACAATTATATAATACAGTTGATATTGTTAATTTTTTATCTATTTTTTATGCAAGTAATGGGATAACATTCCACAATTGAAACTAAAATGCATGCAAACTTTTGAAGCATTCTTAAACTATCCTGATTGCAATGGTGTTTTTACTTATGATTCATTCACATCTGCTGATATTTTATGGTAGCATTGTGGTCAGTGCTTGTTGGGAGCACTATACAAATCAATTAACCATAGCTGATATTAAAATATGTTGTCAAAAGTGGCATTCAAATTTTTCATCTATAGCTAAGTTTTGAAACTGTGTCACAAATGGCAATTATGGACACTATTGAAGTGAGCAATTTGTCTTCATTTTTAAATTTTAACTATTTTATATTGAAATTAACACAGTAATAGATACCTGTGGTGCACATTTACAAAAAAATGTTTGAGCAAAAAATATATTCTAATAGTTGATTGTCACTCTGTTTAAGTTCTGCAAAATGCATAAAAAACAAGGCTTTTCAATACAGTCTGGTTTCAGTAATAAGTAAACTTCAATGCTTCGTCTGACTGTCTTTTATTCAGGGCTCCAACTTTATATCTTTGTATGTTGAGTGAACTAAAATTACATTTACAACTTTGAGGCTCAACGACATTTAATGTAAATAAAATTTTGTTGATTTGCATGTCTCAGCTGTAGATTTTCAGAAGTGATACCGATCACTATAGTAGCTTTTAAATTAAAAATACAAATTAAAATGTTTTGTATAAAGTTGTGAAAGAATGAAACATGAACATATGGGGAGAAATTTTTTTAATGCATATTTTTTCTTTTTTGTTTGCAAGCTAAAGTTCTTTGTTCATTAGGTTACATGAACCTCTCATTTATGGAAGTCATAAGAAACAGTTATTTAGAAATTATATTGTGTTAAAAAAAATTCCACTTTATTTAGAGAAAAACATGTAAAGTGGTTAAACTATGATATTTTATTCATTTTTTGGGGTTAATCTGCAAATAAATTGGAAAGATAGTTATGGTCCACTTTGTGTTTTCAATTTTTATTCAAGCCCTAGTATGCAAATTTATTTATTAAAAAAAAGATTGAAACCACTGAGGTATTAAAATGATTACTATGATTTTCTTTGTATGATTTCATTTATTTTATTTTTAATTATGTATCTGTTAATGATTTTGTTTTAAGCTTAAAACTCGAAAAAGCACCCTGTACAATTGGTGCTATTGGCATATTTAGTTATTTATTATTTTATGTTTATTTTGTTTTCTTTAATTAAAATTTTATTTTTATTTCATTGAAATCTGTATATTTATTACAGATTGAGTTTCACTTTTGTTTAGACATTTGTTTGCAACGAAATTCAGATGTAATGTGAGTAAATACTTTTGTCATTCTATCTTTAATGAAGTGATTCAAAACAGTATTGGTTGTTTTTTGAAAAGCCAATTTAACACATTGTTTTTCTACTAAATTATTCAATACTTCTATTTAAATTCAGGTCAAAATTCAAGGACAGAATATGGAAATGCTCAGAGCTGCATGTGAGCAGTTTTTGGGTAAAACCAGTAAACAGATTATGGACATAGCTAAAGAAACATTAGAAGGTCATCAACGTGCAATTATGTGTACTATGTCTGTTGAGGTAATTGTGGCTGCTTAGTTTTGATTTTACATGCTTGTCGTTTGCTCATTTCAAATGTATGCTTTGTTTTTAATACTGTGGAACCCAACTATAATGAATTCGGGATATAGTTAACGCTCGGTCATAGTGATCTGTTTTAGTGGTCTTTTCTGAGCTCCCATTCAACAAACATTATTTTATACACTTATAGTAGACAGCTAAAAATTTTTAGTTTCTTAACAGTAAACTCTAATTTGATTTGCTCAGTTTTTTTTTCATATTTAAAACTTAAAATTTGCAGAGTTGTGATTTGCAAACGATGATATTTCTTTATATTACGTCAACTCTTACTCTTGCATGCTCTTCACTGTAAAATTAGAGTGCATCAGATCAGATTAGGCATCAGATTCCTCATCATGCCCCTTCCTAGTGCTGAGGAAAGACAAGACATTTTGATAAATTTTATTTTGGAAGTGAAATCACCATTAAGGGTTCTGATTTTTTTTCCCTGGGGAAAGTGAGAACTAGAAAATACTGGACTCTTTACTGTTTTTTGATACAAAAATTAGTAAATTCTACTTAAAATCCAATTATACTTTATTGCAAAGTGCTAATTTATTCCATAGAATTGAAAAAAAAATTATTATTTTTCTTTTTAATATTTAATATATTTACTCAGTTACTGATTCATAAGCGAATTATGTTCTATTGTGATCTCTATTTCCAACAATACTATTGTCAAATTCTGAAAAATAATTTTTCAAATAATTTGTTATATAGTGAATTACTGTTTATAGTGAACTTACTACTGTTTCTGCAGACAGTTCACTATAACGTTGTTCAATTGTTATACAAATTATACAATTGGCAAATTGAATCTGTTTCGTTTCTATTGCTTATTTCCATAACAATTAGACAATTATTTTTGTTGAATTACGGGATGAAGTATAATTACTCAAATTTATGAATAAGTTTATACTTATAGGTAGTAGTTTTTTTCTTTGAGTTTCTATTCAGTTAGGGTTTGGTTTACAGTAGATTTCACATTATTTTTTGAATTTTTAGATTTCGAATAATACTGCTATTTTGTTAAGAATTTGTTAATACGATTAAGCACAAGATATTTTTTCATCTAGTGTTTTGTTCATTTCATTAGGAATGTAGATAAAAGTTTATTGCATTTTATTTTAATCTAAGCATTCTTTCATATTCTGTTTTTTTAATAATGGGATTTTTTGATGTTTTATATAAATTTGAATGAGTTTCTTTTCTATTTATATTAGGCTATTGCAAGATGTTTTAAGTGTGATATAGTTAGTCAATAAATTTTTCAATATCTTAAACTTATGCCTACTATCTATTTTTGTTTTATCAATAAAATTGTAAATATTGACTTGCACCTTTTAGGAAATATATAAAGATCGTAAAAAGTTTTCAAAACAAGTATTTGAAGTTGCTTCTTCAGATTTAATCAACATGGGTATAACAGTTGTTTCATACACTATCAAAGATATCAGTGATGATCAGGTGTGTATGAATAAAATTAAGAAAGAAAAAAAGAATTAGTGTATTGAATATTGTAAATTGAATTTTTTTTTTACTTTTCATTAATGCAAAAGTATATTCATTATTAATTTTATTTTTTTATTAATTAATAATTTTAGGGTTATTTAAAATCTCTCGGAATGTCTCGAACTGCACAAGTAAAACGTGATGCTCGCATTGGAGAGGCTGAGGCTCGGCGTGACTCTCAAATTAAGGTAATTGCATAATTATAGTAATACATAATTAAGGTAATAAGGTGGTAATAATACAGCCATTTTTTATTAACAAAATGAAATTTTTTGGTGAAATAGTGTTTTTTAATGCATGTTTTTTAAAATAACTAAAATTTTCCACTGTCACACTGGTGTCAAGAGGTCTTCTCTATATAATTAGGAGGACATGCCAATTATTCATTGAAAAATAAAGTAATACTGCAATGACCCATGTAGGCCAAAAGATTATGGATATTAATGTTCTAAAATTTTATGATGGCTTGATAAGGGCAATGTGATCAGCGTTGCGCACAAACTATCGTTATTTCTTAGACATAACATAGTACATATAGTTTTGTAGTTATGCAAAGTGACAAAAAATGTTTTTTTCCTTGAAAAATTATTATTGATATTTTTTCTGTATTCCTTGACCAATCTTGCATTTGAAAATAGTTATTTTTCTTCGCTTTTAAAAGTTGTACAGTGAAGGACTAACTACTGAGTCATTACGGCGGCTTTAAATATTCATATATTTAGTAATTTAATTGAACCTATATAAAATGAAATTGAGTAATAATGTATTACACACAAGAAATTTTGTAATTTCTAAAATATTTTTACGGTAAGTTTGTTTCTAATTGCTTTAACTTGGTATTTAAAAAATTTTTCTACTTATCGAAATGAATATTGTATAAGTAATGTTCTGTTAAAATTATATAATCTTATATCTTTTATTCTTTTTCAATGTTAAGCTAGATAGATTTCTTAATTACTTTCCAAGTCTATATTAATTGTTTTAGGAAACAAATTTTTTATAGGAAAAATTGGGAAAGTTTTGGAATGATAATGTCAGATCGTGATTTACAGCTGTATAATTACAGTAAAACCTCGTTAAATCGTCACTCAAGGGACCGAACATTTTCGACGACTTAAGCGGAGTGACGACTTAAGTGGAGTTAGAAATTTCTTTAAAAAAACAAAAAAAAAATTGAAATTTTTTAATGGACTGCAGTAGGATTCGTTGAGAAAAATTAGATTTTTAGAATGTAATACACATGCAAATAAATGTGTAGAAAGGAATACAAATACTTTTGTATAGTTACCACTTTTTATTTTTATTTCTGAGCATTAAAATAGCTTAACATAGTGGATTGATGCAGGAATTGTTGATTGCTGTTAACCTTCTTTTCCAATATCATCAGCGCCTTGAAATCTTCCTCTGTTGTGCCTTCAATTGATGTTAAATATCGTCTAATTTTCTCTAAGGCTTCTAATGTTTCAGTCTTGCTGGGCGGAATTCCACACGAATTCTCATCATCACTATCCTCGCTGGAACTGTGTTGTTTTTCATCTAAAAATTCTGAAGTTAAATCTTTTACAGTCGCTTGTGAACAAATAGCGATGTCATTGTCAATATCGACAAATGCATTTACGTCATTGGCACTGCAACCTTTTTCATTAACAACTTGCAGCAAATTTTCTAAGGGCTCGGGGTCGACTTCTTCACAGAGGATATCTTCGGATTCTGCGTTGGCTACAAATCCCGCGTGTCTGAAGCAATTAAAAACAGTTTGCGTAGAAACTGAGCTCCAACTTCTATGCACATAATTGATCGCGTCTAAAACGGAAACTTCAAACTTTTCATTTTTATCCAATGCTTTTATCAGGTCTTTTACTAGCATTTTTTTATACTTTCTTTTGAAGTCCCGAATTATCCCTTGATCTAATGGCTGAAGAAGTGCAGTAACATTTGGAGGAAGGAAAACGATTTCAATAGCTTTTAAGCTTTCGGGCTGACTATGGGCTGTGCAATTATCGACAATAAGAGCAACTTTTCTCTTTTGGCGCGAAAACTGGGAATCCAATTTACGGATATGCCGTTCCCAAATCGTTGTAGTCATCCATGCATTTGAATTTGCTTCATATTCAACTGGCAGAGATTTAACGTTTTTAAAACAGCGTGGCCTTTTGCTCTTGCCTATCACTAGTGGTTTAAGCTTTTCATTTCCATTCATATTCACTCCCAGCAAAAGTGTTAGACGTTGCTTGCTGGCTTTTCCAGTGGTGCATTTTTCGCCCTTAAACGATAGAGTTTTATCAGGTAAAAGACGATAAAATAAGCCCGTTTCATCTAGATTAAAAACATTCGAGGAATCAAACCTGGATAAAATGTCCTTGAGAACACTATTCCTCCAATTTTCTACAGCATCACCATCAACAGCTGCGGCTTCCCCACAAATCGTTTTAAAAGAAAGACTATTTCTGTCCTTGAAACGCTCAAGCCAACCATTGCTGCAATGGAAATCTTCTATGTTCAACTCCTTAGTAATTTCCATCGCTTTTTCTTTAAGAATGACAGAAGAAATAGGCACATTTTGCGATCTTGCATGCTTTAACCATCGAACTAAAATCTCCTCGATCTCGTCAAACTTTGATTTCCTCATTCTCTTTCTATTGTCTTTGCAGTCTGCTTCTTCAATGGTTTGCTTTGATGATAGAATATCACTTAAGGTAGTTCTCGGAATATTGTGTTCTTTTGCAAAAGCTGTTTTCGAAACATTTGACTTTTCAAAAAGTGCAATTAAGTCCTTTTTTTCTTTAAGAGATAGCGAGGTAAGTTTTCGTTTTCCCGGCATTTTGAAACGTAATCAAATCACAATTTTGTAAGAAAATAAAATGGCCCTTATAGCGGGGCTTACTCGCTATGAAATGAAGTCCTACTGAAGTACGTACAATAAAGAAAAACGTCTACACTCGACTGAGTCGGAGCAAGAAGTGAGAACTTTGAACGATTGGCGTGCAAAATTCCAAGAATCCAAATCCCCTAAAAGGAAAGGAATGCTCACAGCTGTAGAGCGAACTTCGTGGGTGGTCAGAAATTCCCCGAGATACTTGAAGTGAAAGGGGCGGGTTTGAAAAGATAACAGTACGAAAAAAGATAACAGTATACAAAAATGCGAAAAAAGATAGGTTTGCCATTTTTTGGGGTGACGAGTTATCCGGAGTAGAGTTAAATTCGATGACGGGTAAAAGAGGGTTATTTTACATTATTGTCTATGAGGCTTAGTCGGGACCACAGGAAAATGACGACTTAAGCGGAGTGACGACTTATCAGGGTGACGACTTAATGAGGTTTTACTGTATTTGAAATATTTATTTATCTTAAAAATAAATAAATGAAATAAAAATATTAGTCACTTTGATTTAGAAGTGTCTACATAATGATATGTAATTTTTATGTTTTATAAGTTGTAACGAATTTTTGCCATAATGCCTCATTTCTTGGTATGACTTGCATTTGCAATTTTGTGTTTCTGTTTACTTTGTGCCAACCCGGTGGCCGAGCGGTTAGCATTCCTGACTGCGAAGCCAGTGGGTGTGGGTTCGAATCCCAGCATGGACGTTTCACTCAATGTGTTGTCCTCTGTTGTATGTGATGTGTGAATGTGGCCCACCCTATGAACGGGTACCCGATGCAGTGTGGAGTGTGTAATGTTGCTCGCTTCTGTGACTTAGGTTCATAGGTGTCCACTGGGTAACGTTAAATGAGCTACACTTCCAGCATCTACCAAGGTAAAGAATGAAAGTTCATTGGAGAAAATTTTTTTTTCTTTGTATACTATAAATTCTTGGAATATTTAAAAATCTTTACAGTCACTATTATATGTTCTGTTCTTGTCTTAAATGAAAAATTGTATTATGGCTATTTTATAGGAAGCATTAGCAGAGGAAGAACGGATGGCTGCTCGTTATGTAAATGATACTGAAATCGCCAAAGCACAAAGAGATTTTGAACTTAAAAAAGCTGCTTACGATATGGAAGTGAACACAAAAGTAAGCAACATTTTTATTCTCTCTTAAAGAAATAGGACTCTTTTTTTTCTTTTTTTAAAGGGTTTCAATGATTTTATGATATATAATTTTACAAACTACAATGCCCTTTTCTTTAAAATTTGTATTTATTAATTTACAATTTAAGTTATCATAATTTCTCATTTTTTTTGCAGACCTTAATGTTAAAATTTTAATTTGAATATTTTTTGATAAGTACTAATAAATGGTAAATCATTTTTATTGAAAAAGAAGTAAGAAAAAAAAAGAGACATAGCTCTGTCTGATTATCTATAATTGTTTTCTCCGTACCAAATGCATCTGTTTAGTTCATTCCAGATAAAGCCTTGATAAGTTCCCTTGAAAGTTTTCTTTCTATTGGTAGACATGAGTCTTATGACCTTAAGGAGATCACTTGATCTTCTTTCTATTTAATATCCCTTTTTTTCCTGGCAAACTAAGTTTATATAACAATATTTTTTTGTTGTTGTTGCTATGTTTGGTTTTCCTAGGCATGAAATTTCAGTTCTAAACTACTAGCCCGACTAAACTTTTTACTTGCTACTATTTTCACAAAAAATATAAACAGTTTTCAAAATATTAAGAGATGTAGTATAAAGAATTTTTCAGTGGTACAAAAATGTAAAAAAATAAAAAACTGAATCACATTCGATTCTAAAAAACATTGATATTAGTTTTGTTTCAGTGGTTTCAATGTTATCCATTTATAAGTAAAAGTCATCAAAATACTAGGAATATCAAGAAATTAAGATATCAGAAATGTCCCATATTTTTAACACTACAAATTTGTATACCACTGCCTTTTTACAATACCATATGTCCATTTCAGGCTTAGCATCAAACTCTGTTAGAGTAGGTTGACTTTTAAATATTCTGAACAACTCATCAAGTGTCTCTGTCTGTAAAAAGTTTCTGTAAGCCGTCTTTGGTCTATTGTGACAGTTGAAGCCGCTCTCACAAGAATCTGTGACCACTGGAAGAATAGCTCAAAAATGTTATAATCTAGAGATTATTCAAGAATTTTGCATCAGAGGAATTAATTAGAAATAATTAGAGATTATTCTAGAATTAAATTAAAAGAGTCTAATTTGTTGTTTATGTTTGTGTTAACTTGTAAATTGTGGTTTTATTATACTCCAAATGTTGTCTTCAATTTAATTCATGTTCATTTAAAAAATATATATATATTTGTTTTACAAAATACTTATTTACTTTAATGTGTTTGCATAGCTTTTTTTTCATCAGCTTATGATCTTGTTAGCAAAAATTGTTTTCAGAAATTATTATTTAAATTTTTTTACATATGTATATATTTTTTTTTTATCAAATTGAGCTGTAAGAACTTATAATTGTAGTAATCATTGAATGTTTCAAAATTTATGGTTTGGGAAATATAATAATCACCCTTTGTAGAGGTTACCTGTCATTTGTTGCAAGTCAAGAAATATATTCTAAAATTACTACAATTAATATCTAAAAACAAACTAACTTTTAATTATGTTTACATATGCTATTATAGTTAATATAAAATTTTTGTGCTTCTATTCTATTTACTGTTTTTTTGGCAAGAAAAAAGTTGAGGAAAATCTTTTTAACGGAATAATCAAAATCATAACCTGGCAATATTTTTTAATTACAGAGAGCTGAGTCAGATTTGGCATTTAACTTGCAAGCTGCTAAAACTCGTCAAAAAATCAAGGAAGAGCAGATGCAGGTTAAAGTGATCGAAAGAGCTCAGGAAATACAAGTACAAGAGCAAGAAATATTGCGCAGGGAAAGAGAGCTGGAGGCTACAGTTAGACGACCTGCTGAGGCAGAAAAATATCGATTAGAAAAACTGGCCGAAGCTAATAGGTAAATATGTCAGAATGCTATGACCTTTACTTGTGTGTGATACAAATGATTTTTCAAATTTGGAAGGATTGCAGTTTAGCTGTTGCTTTCTTTTCCTCTTACAATCACTGAACGGTCCCACACACTTTAACCATAAGTTATCATATTTGTTTTGTTAAATATCTAGTTATGTTAAATATAAAAAAAAGTTTCCAGTAAGGAAAAAATTAAAAATTTTACTTCACTTTTAAATGGTCCCACAGTAAACTTATTATAAAACACGGTTCCAAGTAGATGATCAAAATCAAGCATTACTGCCACTGTGAGTGACAAGATGGGTGTTGTACTTACAATTTTTGGGCCGACAATATTCAGCAGAATATTTAAAATTTGAGTTTTATACCCTCACCAATGAACAAAATAAAAATGTTGCGTCTTCTTTGTTTGAAAACTTTTATCAATAATCCTATGAAACCAACCTAATTGTGAAAATAAAATAAATAATTGAAGATAATAATTTTTTTTACACAGGTGGTTGGTAAGAGAACTGTAAAATTTTTGGGAATAGAAGATCAAAATATTTTGATTGCACCTGGTGTACAGGATGTTACATCAATCATGCTGAAATTCATAACTTCTTGTATTATTTTTTAAGGAAACATTTTCAGCATTGTTAAATGTGTGTTACGGGCTGACTTAAGAAACTAGGTATGAAACCATTGAGGCACTATAAGAACATTATATAATTTACTTCTAAAAATAATCTATGAAAAAAAATAATTATGACAGCTCATTTGCTGAAATTTTTGTTTCTTTGCGAAATTAAGTTGAACATTTTCACCTCTTAATTAAAATTTTCTATCCCTTTAATTCGTCAATTTTGTTTTCCCCAATAATATAATTCCCAAAAGTAGAAAGGTTGTATTGTCAGGATTTTTTCTTTCTCACAACGTTTAGGAATCTCGCTCTCTTATTAAACCTCTCTAAAATTTTTTAAAAAACATTTTGTTAGACTGATCAAGTATTGAGTTTTCGCAGAAACTTTTTGTTATGTTTATTTTGAACTGAGGTAGATAGGCACTTTATTTACGTCGCACTACAACTGCACAATGGGCTATTGCGATGATCTGGGAAACATCTGTGAGGATGATCCGAAGACATGTTATCGCAAATTTGATCCATTGCAGAGGGGATGGCTCCCCTGCTCTGGTAGCTGAATGACCTGCGCATGAAGTCAAGCACATTGCGGGACATTTCTTAATTGAGAAAATGATGAAATAACTAATCAAGATAATTAAATTTCATTACTTTAAAAAGTTTTTTAATTGCATTATTTAATAAAATTTGTGAACAAATGGATAAATTTAATAAAATTAACTAGTTTTTAGCATAATTCTCATTTTCATTAGCATACTATAACATGTATTTGTAGATACATGGCATCATGTAAAAATTTTCTGAATGAAAATTTCTCAATTAGGAAAAATTTATCAAGCCCTGTTTCTAAAGTTAAGTTTCAAAGCCTCTGCTTGCTTTATTTTGTTACTCTATTGTCATTGCTTATTTTAATAACTGATATAAAGAATTTCTTTCTGATAAGCCATAATTATGTTATACTTATTACATTATTTCTATAGAAATCGAGTGATTATGGAAGCAGAAGCTGAGGCTGAAGCAATTAGAGTAAGTTTAAAATAAACATGTTTTTTTTTTTTAACAAAGTAGTAATTATTTTTATTTATTTTATTTTAAAATATGTCATTTTTGAAAATTTGTTCTTTTTTTTCTTTAATATTTGCATGAATGCAAATATTAGAGAAAATAAGGAACAAATAGCAATAACTATGTATTGCAATCTAATATTTGTATTATCTCATTTAAATGTAATAATTTGTTTTTATTGCCGCAATTGGGATTACTAATAATTTTTTTTCATGATAGCTAAGAGGAGAAGCTGAAGCCTTTGCAGTAGAAGCCAAAGCTAAAGCAGAAGCTGAACAAATGGCTAAAAAAGCTGATGCATTTAAAGAATACAGAGATGCTGCAATGGTAGATATGGTTCTGGACACACTGCCAAAGGTATTTTAAATTTTCTTTTTCCAATGACTATTTTTATTGCCTCTTCTTATGATGAATATTGAACTCTCTAAAAAATTATTTACCTTCCTTAATCAGATTGCTGCTGAAGTTGCTGCACCACTTACTCAATGCAATCGAGTAGTCATGGTGTCGGACGGGAAGGGTGATATGGGGGCTGGAAAATTGACGGGAGAAGTCCTAGATATTATAGCAAATGTTCCACATGTAGTTTCTAAACTGACTGGTGTAAACATAACTAATGTAAGTTTTATACCTTGACATTCTTTATTGTAACTTGCTTTTATTTACCTCCTACCTTTTTAGGTATTCAGAAAAAAAGACCATTAAAATTGTGGATATGCCCAGTTTACAGCAAACATATACCAAAAAAGTGCCGTGTAAATTTACAAAGCTTGTTTTTACAATTGTGATCTATAGGTGGGCCCGGTAGCAGAATTTATAGAATAAATCTGTAGCACTAACTTCATATATCCAAATTTGCCTGCAACTCCAATGCATCAGACAGCGATTATTATTGTAAAACTTCAGCTTAACCCAAGAGATATGTAGCAAAATTTGCAATGGTATTTAAAAATTATAAACAAAAACTTTATATCTTATAAACTTATTTAGAATAAACAATGATACTAAAAAAAAGTAGAGTGAATCCTTACATAGCATAAGTCTGTAATAAATTAACAGAAAAGAAAAGTTTACTTTTTTTTTCTCGTTGCAGTGTTCTCTCAACTAAGCTTTGTTATTCTGATTAAAAACAAGTTTATGTTTTAAAAAGGAGTCTCAGTAATTTTTCTCCTCTTTTTTAATAATCTGAGATGAAAAATAATCTGCTGATATTACGATAATCTGCAGCGACCGCTGCCGTGCTGGAAGGTTTCTGCTACCAAGTAGATGGATATAAAAGTTAAAATTATCTTAAAATGAAGGTAGTTATTTTAAATAAAATTTAAAAAATGTTTTAAAATTTGTAATAACTATAGGGGATTGCATTTAGGCCTTTTCCTTTTTTTTAAAAGTATAAATCACCACTTTTATAACATATTACCCTACTAAGTGAGGGATTGGTTACCTTGTCAATTTCAAAAGCTATTCTCGTTCGTTGAATAATAAACAGTTATATCCTTGGAATCAAAGATTCAAGATGTATAGTAATGTATTTTTCTTTTATTTACAAATTCCATTGTAAAAGTTTTTTTAAGTCACATGAATGTTGGTTAAAGTCAAATGAACCATAAATTGCTTCAATATCTATTTTTTAAAATAAATAAATTAAGTGAATTCTATTTGTTTTCAAATTACATTGATATTTATATTTACGTACATACATTGTTGTTTCGTAGATTTGAAAAAATATATTTTTTACTTCATTAAAATTGAAGCAACTAACTTTATTACTTTTTAGTTTTTTAGGATAGTAAGAGATATTTAAGTAATACATAAGTTTGAAAAAATAGTGCATATATAATAATTCCTATGAATGCATATATAAATAATTTGTTTAATTTATTGAAATAAAATATGTCATTCTATCTTTCATCTTTTAATTGAGAATAATTTAAATTAGAAATCTTAACCTAGGTGCTGCATTTTGTAAGATATCTCTCATCGACAATTTTCCTTGGCATAAATACAATACATTTTACTTTACTACTATGAAACTTCTCTATGTTTAAATATTTTAAAAAAAACAATTACTAAATTTGTAATTTTATTCCAGTCTTTGAAAGTCGCTCAAGCTGCCACATAGAATATTTATGAATCAAAGCTACAAAAGCACATTAAATGTATGTTAACACGATTGAACCAACAATTTGCTAAACCGAAATTATTATGTATTGTTTAATATTAATTTTTTAAGCATTTTTTATATGTTTATTATGCATGTCATGAAATAAAAATGTAAAGCACTTATTTATATTTAATGGTATTATTTCTCCCTATTATGTCCATTTATGTTTAAGATAATGTGTGACGATTTCTAAACATACATCTTAGTTCATATTTATTTACATAAATTAAATCTTTATAAATATTAATATCTATTTTCAAACTATTTGCTTGCATCCTTTTTGAACAGGATATTTTCAATGCTGAAATTTTATTACGTGAACACATATTTGTTTGCTAATTTAAAAATAAATTATTAGGATTATTTTAAATTTGTAAATGCATCATGAAACTAAAAATATATTGTTTAATAAATAAATTTTGTTATTTTTAATGAACGATAAGTGTTTTTCAGTAGTCTGCTAATAATGATAAATTTCTAGGAATAATATGAGTGTTTTAAGCACAATCGTTATAAAACTTTAATATCTTAATATTTTTACTAACTTAGTGTTACAAAGAAAAAAGAATTTCAAAATCAGAAATTCAAGACTGTCATAAAATTAGTGTGTATTTATAGGAAGATAAGGATTTATACTTGTTGCTTGTTCAAGTTTTAGGGAGGGTTTCAGAAGTACTTGTATAAATAAAACGTAAGGAATATTTTAATACATTCAGAAGTGATTGTGTATTAGTGATTGTTAAGATAATTAAAGTTTTCGATTGTAATTATTGATATCAAAATCTATAAATAAACAATTCTATAATTAATGTCCAAAAAAGAGCTTTTATAGTGTAGGTAAATATACACAGATGTTTATAAAATTTCTTGTAATAGTTAATATGTATTTACTGCTAAGTAACAGTTTTATACGTAGCAATTTTCTTCCTGATTAGAAATTGGACTTAAATTTATAAATATTTTGTTTATAACAAGTTTCTTACTCTATTTTAAAATTAAAATTGCTTGACTACACAGCAACAACAGCTATACACAGCAATATTTCATTTACAAAAGTATATATAATATTCAGTTAAAAACAACAACTTACATTTTAATAGAACTGTTTGCATTTTGTATGAAACAAAACTTTATTAGGCAAAGGTTTAATGTGTATACTTAATAAAAAGCAAGTTTTTAATTTATAGAAGCAATATTTTGTTCAAGAACTGAAAAAAAAAACCTTAAAGTTTCACTATGTAAAATAGTTAATTATTGATCAGGTCGGTTATATAGTCACAATATAATATCTTACTGGTGGTTAAGAAACAAAATTTATAATTATTCTAATTAATAAAAGTATTGATCTGTAAATATAGTTACATTTAAGAAAAAAAATTTTAACAAGAAATTTTTAAACAAAACTACTTTGCAATAACTAATACTTTAATTTTTATAAATTTAGGAAAATTTAACCATTCTGCAGTGCTTAATATTTAGTGTGTGTGTTTTAGTCTTCATTTAAAATCCATTGGAATAAAGATAAAAATTTTAGTTATTTTCACTTTTTTGTCATAAATTTTATTATATATTCTCAATATAAAATATGCATATCCATTTTTTGAGAAATTTTTCATTGACTATGAAATTTCGTGTGTGTTTTTCCTTCCATTGTCCTTTAATATTTGTTTAATATTCATTTTAGATTTGATGTCAATTTTCTTGTATGTTTCTTTGTGAAATAAAAAGAAAAACCTTTTTGTTGTTCCTTAATTTCGATCGTCTTAGCATATATGAAAATTGTACTGATTTATGTACTTGTTATTATTTTAACAAAATATTTAATTTTTATGGTTACATGTAGCTATTCAAGTAGATAAAAGAAAGCATCATTTCAATTATTTATGCAATATTTTAAACAATAAAGACTCTCTTAAAATGTAAGTAGTATAAATGCATTTACTAGTATAGAGTAACCAAAAGCTTGTATTTATTGTTCTTATTAAAAGCCATAAATTTGAGAGAGATAATCTTCAAACTGAGTGATCAAAGTGAACTGTCAGATTTTTTCCCCTGCTAAATTCTCGATTGTATTATGAGCCGTGATGTAGTGGAAATACATACACAGTTATGTTACAATTTTTCTACAAAACTTAATACTTATTATTACAGGGTCTATTAAAGTTTATAATTATTATCAAAGGGTGTACAAAATTTTTACATTTCTATGAGGCAGAACCAATATTTTAGGGAATGAAAAGAAACATAACTGCATATCTTTTTATGAAAAAAATTGATTTTAAACTTAAAATTTTCTAAAAATAAATTTTTAATGCAGCACGAGATCAATCTATGATTGTTGAACCTTACATTAAGTACATTGCCTTTACATAACTATTCTGCATTGCAGCAGTTTTCAATTTTTTTCAGTTGTGGAACCCTAAATATAATAGCTCCACTTTTAATGGAACCCTGACTTGATAAATAAAGACAATTGAAACATGTTGACCAAAGAAGGACTACTAATCATTTTGAAAATATTTAATTGGGAATAAAATTTTAATTTTTTCATCAATAATACTTTTAAATAGACTTTTTACCAGACAGTTGAATTAGCAGGGCTGGAGCAGCATCTTGTATAGTTCTGAATTAGTTTTTGGTGTTCGCAAATGCTGAATTTTAGTTTTCTTTAAGATGAAAATGCAAAAGAATTTTTATAAACATTGAGAATGTAAAATTTTAATTGAAAAATTTTTAAAAAAGTAATTTCTGAATTGAAAAGTTGGAGGAGAAATACAAATACAATTTCTAATTTCATATCCTTTTTATAATTTTTTAGATTAAACATACCATTTTTTTAATTATGTTTTTTTTTGACTGGCATTTTGTATAAATACTAAAAATAACCAAATGATAGGCTATTGATGGGATTTAAATATAATTACAGGTTTTAAAATTCAATAAATATAATAACATGCTCATGAAATATAATTACATGCTCAAAATCTCAGTTAAAAAAAAAAAAAAATTCCTAACTTTCAAAACCCTTGTGATTTTTTCACGAAACCCTAGGGATCCATGGGTTTCAATTTTGCAACCCACTGCTATATCAAAATATATTAACAGTTTTGCCTCTTGAATTCATATTATGTTATGTTAAAACTTAAACAGACACAGCATCATTAACAAGTTTTAAATAAAAAATTTAATAATCAAAAATAATATACAATATAATTTTTAAACAGTTATTCCTAAGGACTATACCAGTCTAAAAACAACAAAGAAAATGATAGAACTAATAAGAAGAAGAGAATCCATATTCTAAAACCAGCACTCTTTTTCATAGCCTGCAAGATTAGAAAGAATTATAATCTTTAAAATATTGTGGTATAGCAACTAATATATAAGTATTTCTGCAAATAATCACAACTACAGTGGAGCATCGTTTATACGACGATCACTTATACGACGTTTTAGTGTGGTCCCAAATCATTCCTATTCATTTTAATGTAAAAATATATCGTTATACGACGCACAGAATCGGTTATATGTCGGTTTTTAGATTTTGTTCACGTTTATTTAATTTTTTATTTTTTCTTGTGTATTTTAAAAAAGGGCGCAATTTGCCAACATGAATGATACAGAAAGGGGTGCCAACAAGAATGCTTGGATGACGACCGTAATTTTTACTACATGACTGAAAAAACTAGACAATGTTATGAAGAGGCAAAAACGAATTTTGCTATTCATCGTACTTGTGATCGTACATCGTATCACTACATACATTCAAATTGCTCTCTGCAATTTTTCTTCTTTGGTTATTTGTTTGTTTTGCTTTGTCTAATTTAGAAATTTATGTAAATCAACACGTTAAACATTAAAATTAACTGAAAACAGAGTTAGTTTCAGTTTTAGAAGTAAAAATCGATTATACGACGCAATCGTTTATACGACGTTTTTCGGTGGTCCCTTTGGCGTCGTATAAACGATGCTCCACTGAATGTTTACATATGTGTACAGGGGCAGAGATTAAGAAAATCTAGTGTCTGGTCCAAAGATCCAGAAATTAAGTCTGCACACATTTTTACTGATCTGTTAAAAGTCTTAAAAAAAATTAACGAAGTTCATTTAATTGAAAAATTACAATGAAGAATTTGCATAGTTCTCATTTATGATGAAATATCCTATTTTGTTACTAAAATAAAGATCAAAAGACGAAACCAAAGATAAAAAAACTGGATCAGCATACCATCCTTTTTCATTTGTTGCTGGTTCCAGGGACCACTGATAGATTATTTTGCAGTGATAGACTGATAGAGTTTTTGCACTGATAGATTGTTTTGAGTCAAATTTTAGAGGTTTCAGGACTAATGGACCACTGTTAGTATTGGACCATGTGTACGCATATAAAATTTCGAGGAAAAAAAATCAGAGAAATTATTTTTTTATCTCAAATTTGTTAGTTGTTGAATTAAGGAAAATTATTAATATTTTATTATTCAACATTTATTCATTTTAAAATGTTTTAGCATTGAATCTGGTGGGCAAAAAATAATTCATAAAAAGTAGGCTCAATGCAATCATTCATGTTAATTACTACTAGTTAAGATAAATTCATTTCCATATATTAAAGCAGGTTTAAGTAGGCATAAAATTTGCAACTAAAATTCATATAATATTAGATTGATATAAATTCAAAACATATTGTTGCATTTTCGTTTTGGCAATATTTCGTATGAAATTAAAAATCAAGTCTGACATTTGTCAATTCTCATCACCAAGAACTGTATGCAAATTTAAATAAGCATCATTTAGTGCCTAAAAATTAATACACAAGGCAAAGTTAAATAATAAAAATATTGATAATGAAACAAACCTCACGTAATTCTTCATTTCCCTCTTTAATATTTTCTGTTGTTCCCATAACTGTATCAGCTATTCGATTAATATCTTGGTCCTGAAATTCAAATTATTTGAGAATATAAAAATAAAAACTACTATTATAGATAAAATATTGGCACGTAAAATATCAAAAAACCCAATTTGCAATGTTTAAAAGAACAAGGTATAATCATAGAATGTTATTTTCATTAAGAAAGAAAAGGTGTTATGGGAAGTTTTGCCCAGCCTATATTTTTTATATTATTTTAGCCAGTGATCACCAAATTGTTGCTTTGTATCAATCAGAATCAGATATTGTTTCTATTTGTACCCCATTTGTTAATAAGATAAAAAAAATAATAATTCACCCAATATTAAGTCCAAGAAACAAATGAAAAAAAAATTGTCTGGAGATAGTTAAATCAATTTAGTTTTAGTTCTTATCAGTAAAGTGGACTATTTCGAATCAGATTTTCTATTTTTGATTACTAAACAAACATTGGATGTTTCCGTAAACAGTTACTTGATATATCAGTTTTAATAGATTCTTTAATCTCTGTGAGTTCTATAAAGTAACGCCAATTTAGAAATTTTATTATGTTAGAGCAAATATATATATTTATGTATATATCTTTGTAAAATGTAGGTCAAATGTCCCACGTTTCCCCTAATTAAGAAACAAACAACCTTTTGATTTTATACAAAAATGCCATTTTCAACGTAAAAAGCTTACTTGCTGCAAAACTTTTTCAGTGAGTATTTCTTGTAACCTTCCTATTTCAACAACCTTTCCTTCAATTTCTCTATAAAATAAAATCGATTATATATTTATAATTTAATAATTCTTAAATGAACAAAGAAACATATAAAGCTAAGCAATAAAACAGGCATGACTTTTTAAGTTGTTTGATTAATGTTTTTTCATAGTTTTTCTTTACATAAATGTTTATACTTAATTAGGTGATAAAATAAATACATAATAACAATGTGAATATAAATAGCATAAAAGTAATAATTTAAAAAAAAATTTAATATGCTTTTAGGGTAGTATTTTCCACCATACACTAATAAGCAAAAATTCATGACATTTCATAAATTTAATCATTGTTATTTTCTAATGGTAGTGGGCAGTAATTTTTTTTTTTTTTTTTGTATCCCCACAAAATTCTTTTATTACAGGAAAATATAAATTTTTCTGATTCAGTTTCATAAACTGAACTGTTTAAGGAGAAACAAACAAGCATGTATAAATTAACTGTTTTATATTACTTTGAAAAATTTGATTATTTTCTGATTTTTCTTTTTAACTGGAACAAAATTTTTTAAAAATAAAACTTTTTTCTTGTACAAAGAAATTAAAATATGTACTCTTAATAATATCCTAAATAGGGAAATATTTTTGCTTCTATTGTTAAGTTGCAAAGCTATAAAACTTTAAAGTTTAGATGTCAAAGCTATTTTTTCTAAGTAGCTCAGTAAAAGTTTGTAACATTAAACCACTATCATTATTATAGTTTATTGGTGTTATGAGTATTTTTTGTTGTTGTTATTTTTAATAGTTTTGCAGTAAAATGTAGTTAAATTGTCTTTTTAAAATCATTTAATTTCTTTTTCTTAAAAATTGCTTTCATGTAAGTGTAAACTATATTTACAAAAATCTATGGTCAAATATTCTCAGCCAAATGCATAAACTTTTTGCTCTCAATCCATAATTGAAAAATTCATATTAAATTCTTCTTATAATTTATAGAACATATTATCAAAGAATGTTAAACTGAAAAACTACAAATAATCCTTATTTTTATTCAACAGTGAGAATTAATTTCACTTAGCAATAACTCTTTATTTAAAAGTATCTTTAATAAGTGTCAGCTGTTTTATAGTGAAAGTTCACCAAAAATTTATTCTTATTTCGAAAATTTTGATTTCATGATTATTTTATTTATAACTATTCAGATCGTGCTATTGTGATGTGTATGAACTTTTGCAAATTACAATTTATTAAAAAAAAAAAAACAATTCATAAAAAAAAAAGAAATTCTGAAATCAAAAGTGAAGATTTTCAAATTTATGGTACTACAAGGATACTACAAATTTAAAGTGTTTAATGTGCTTTCTTTTTTACAAAAATAAAAAAATTAAATGAATTTATATTTGTATTTCTGAAAACTGGTTTTAGAGTTTGAAAAAAAAAAGCTAAAAAAAATTTCTTTCCAATTTAACTTTTTTTAAACTAACAAAATTTTTTGACCTCTTGATAAAGAATGTTTTTTAAAAAGATTTCATGATTTTTATTGGTCAGTAGTATACTATTGCAAAATTTTCAAGTTATACAGAGATGTATAAAAATATACTTTTTACGATTTCAATTTTCGTTTATTATGAAAAAAATTGCTTAAATATACTTTAAAAAAAATATCCTTAGAAGTTATAGTAAGCTTTATACTTTTAAAAATATCTTAATTATAATATACAGCTTTTTCTTCAAATTTTACAGCTATGTTGAAGTAATGACATGGTGCTACATCAAAATGTTCTATTACCAATTACTACTGTTCAAATTAAGTTAATCAATAAAAAATAAAATAAAAAATAAAATAACCAAAAATAAATATGATTTTGTCAAGATCTTCATAGATTCACAAGACTGAAATTTACAATATAGTAAGAGTTTTAATTTCATATGAAAATAAAAAATATAAATGTTAATCTTCATATTGCTTAGGAAATAAAATTATAACAAATAACCTTACTTTATACGCTAATATATTTTTTTATTATTAGGTAGTAAAGAATAGTTTGTTCTTCAATATGGATATTGAATTTTTTATAATGAAAAAAAAAAACATTAGAAACATAACAAACAATTAATATGATTTTTCGTAAAATATATCACAATTTTTTTTCTTTATACTTTCACAGTCAACTTTTTTTTAAAACTTTACCAAACAATCAGAAAACTCAAATACTCACTTAACTTCATCAACCAAAGTATTCATGTCTTGATATAACCTTTGATTCTCTTCTTCAAACTAATAAAAAAAAAACAAATATAAAAGTAAATGATGATTATTAAGTATTGTGAGGTATCAACATAGACTATGACAATGTACGTTAATAATCTAAGTTGAATAGCCGATTGAAAAACTTTAAAAAATATTAATTTAATAGAAAATGGACAAAAAGATTAAAAATAAATTAATAATTTAGAAAGCTAAAAGAATAATTCTTAAAAATTAATGAAAATAGAAGTAATCAAAACAATAATAGATGTTGTAAACATTCTAGACTAATTCATTTTTTGAAATGTTCTACAAATAACTATTTAATACTATAAATTATTTTATTAGTGATTAAATATCTAATAATTCATACATATTTGAAGTACTATTCTATTAAAGCTTAAAAAGTATTATAATGAAAGAATGAAATTATAATTGGTTTTAAGGTTATGATGCTTTATAAAGATGCAAAATTTAAAGTTACGCTAAAATGAACATTATGAGCACATTTTAGAGAACAATGCAGTTTTAGAATAAGAGGGCATTTGTTTTTTTTTTTTTTACTTATGCTACAAAGGGAGGCAAAACAACAACATAAGTAAGCAAATTTCACATTTTGATGTTAAATAAAGGCAATTCATTACATTTTTATATTGGAGTCTTTTAAAGCTTTGCATTACTTTTCTATTAAAGGAACTTTTTCAACAATTTCTGAAACAATATTTTATCTTAATTTGATTCAGTAGAATCTTGAGAATTCTAGTCACTTTCATTTGAATAGCTTTGTAAGTGGTCTAAATTTCCAATTTTGTTTAAAATTATTTTTTTTCAAGAATTTTAATTCTTTATATCTGCTATGAAGACTAAATACAATAATTTGTTATTCATTTTCTATATATAATTAGTGCAAAACACAGGTATGTATTCTTTCCTTAAAATACAAAAAAATCTTATTTTCATATTTTATACTATAAAAAGTCTTCGTCTAAATTATAGTTTACACTTTGATTCTCAGAATATCTATTTTCATACATATACTAAAATAATTATTTCTACTTGTGTTACTAGTGCTTATTTCTACTGAAGACTAAATGAGTTTATAATATTACTCATTTTATATATATACACACATATATATATGATAAAGGTATTATCTGCAATGGTTTTTTTATTAACTGAGAAGTTTTAAATTTTTTTGTAAGGAATTTTAAAGCAGTTCCAGGTCCTGGAACAATAGTCTCTCGTCCTGGTTACAGCCTTGCTTACAATATACAGACTCAATGTTATGAAAACTAAATGCAATGAACTCCTCTCTACCCTTACAATATCTGTTATGAGGACTCATTTCTATAAGATTCAGGCATTTTCTTTCATATTCAATTAATACTGTAACCAATTTCCTAGGTTGTTTCAATAAAGGAATGAGCCTTTATAAACAACACTTAAAAATAGGAAACAAGAATTACATGTTCTAATTAGCTAGACCTTTATTAAATGGTTATAATATTATTTAAACTTAATAAGTATAATTAATATAAATAACTATCAATAAAATATCAATTTTTGTAGTTGACTCATGCAAGAAGACATTTAAAATAATGAACTAAAACTATCTAATAAGTTTGATAATCCAAACTAATTTTCACAAATCATAATGACATTGAAAAACTAAGTTAAGCTCTTTTTTTTCTCCAGCAATACCAACCTTAATGTAAAAGAGAAAAGATTTAAGAATAGAATCACAAAAATACTAAAGCTTAAAGTCAAAATTTTAGTACTAAATATTTAAAATTGTTTTCTACTTTATAAAATCCAACATTACTTTACAAAATCCAAAATCCAACACTTTAGCTGCTTAATAGCCTGTTACCTTTTTGGGAAAAAAGTCTTAGTCCATTTATGATATACTAAATAGTTTTAGACAGTATAACCATACTATGCTTATTGACTTGTTTTTTTCTCTCCCTAGATAGGTGATAGACAATTTAAAGGACATAAGTACATAAACGTTTTTTCAATTATAAATCTGGTCTCTTTTGGCCGACCCCCATGAAATATTTATAATAAAAATAAGAAACAACCCAGAAATTATTTTTCTTTTCTATAATTGAACCTATGAAACTGGTGCAACTATTCTGATCAAGTTTGAATCAGGTACTAAAAGGTTTGAGATTTAATTTAAAGATGCATAAAAACTAAGAACTGAAGAACTTTTAATCTAAGAACTGCTAAATTAAGGCTTAATTTAGAAGTTCTTAAGTTTTAAATTAAGGCTAGGCTAAAGATCTTCTAAATTAAGAAAATTATGAAGAATGAAATAGTGGAAATGTAAACAATGAATTTGATACCATTTGCAATTCTTCAGGAGAAAATTCGACTTCAGGAGTTTCAGGAGATGAATATTCATCATTCAAAATAGAATCTTTAGAAGAGGATTGAGATGATTTAGTTTCTTCAATTAGGACATCAGAACTTGTTGAGGGGAAACTTTCTTCATCTTCAGCTTTTCTTTTCTTAAAATCACTTTCTAATCGTAACCTGATAATATAATAATAATAAAAAAAAGAAATAACTAAAGGAATATATAGTAAAATAAGTTTTATTTTTCAACTTTCAACCAAACTATAGATTTTTTAAAAATCTTTTTTATAATTTTTCCAACTTAATCAAATTATTTACAGCAAAATCTTATTTTTTCCAATATTGTTTTTATTTTTAAAGAAAACCTTAGTCACAATATTTTCTCTTTGTCACTTTTTACTACACATTTGCATCATCATATGCCACTCCATATTACATAAATATATACTAACAATTAAAATTATGATGATTCATAATTTGAATTTTATTTTTAAACTTTAATTATGTATCTTAATGACATTTGTGAGCATAACAAAACAACAAAAATAATGATTACAAGTGTATTATTTCAATGAAGAAGATGATAAAAATAAATAATCTAAAAATATTTTATCTATTGATTTTAAATGTTTTTACTTTGAGTAAAATGTACTATATCACACTTCTTGCTGGTCTTTTCCTTCTTACAAATTGTTTAAATTTTATGAACTTTGTCCATCCCCTCGAATGTGAGGCTAGCCTCTTAGAAAAAACAGGGTGCATAGCCAAATTATTTAACAAAAAATAAACACCTTTTAAGCACTTTTAAAGCACTCAAAAAATATTTTTAAGCACTTTAAAAAAATATCATTAATTAGGCAAGGTTGGAAAGTTTTTGACAATTAACGGTTTCATGTCGTTTTAACCATCATGTCTCAAGAAAAAAAAAACATTTTGGCATTGTTTTTAACAATTGTCAAAATTCATGAAATATTGAATCATGTTAAAACGAATAGCGTTTTCATAAGCTACGGATTGACAATAAGTCAGAATAGATTGGGATTGAATTAATTGTAAAAACGTTGAATGAGAACTGTGTTTTTTTGCATAATTCAGGGATGAGAGTAGTCAGAAAGTAAAAAAGAGGAAATCCAAGAATCTATATATATATATATATATAAAAATCGCACTTTTTTTGTCAAATTTTTGTTTAAATTTGTAATTTATGTGATTATAAATCCCGATATGAGGCTTTTAAATCACGTGAATATGAAACTCTACATCGAATTTAAAAAATGCGAAAATAAAAATCATGATGCGTAATTTTTAGATCAAGATGCATAATTTTAAAATCGCGCGATATTACAACCGCAAAAACGAATCACGACATTGGATTTTAAGCTCGAGTAGCTACATAGGGTTTTAAAAGCTCGTAAATACAAATCGCGATATTGGTTTTTTAATCTCGTAAATAAGAATTGCAATGTACAATATTTAAATGACCTGAATAAGAATCGCAACGTTCAACTTTTAAATCAGGTAAATACGAAAATCGATGTTTGATAATAAAATCGCGTGAATAAAAATCGAGATATTTGCAGAGTCTGGACTTCTGATTTCTAAAAGGCTTGTTTGAATTGTTTTTTGTTTACACAATAAATAAAAATTTCCAAGATTAATTGAATGAGCAAATAAATATTTTCACCACAAATCTGCCTCTATTTTTTTCGCTTTCTCTCCAGAATACAAGAAGCAGCGACGTCTAAATTACGAAAATACGAGCTATCCCGCTGATGGATAAAAAATACGGAAAATCTTATTTTCTGTGCATGAAATCGGAGAAAATAGCTTATATAAGTAAACATGCGGAAGGATTAGCAGCTAGGACGTAGTTTGAATTTTCTGTTTTTCTTTGAAAATCGTAAATAAATATAATAATTTGACTTCAACGACTGAATTTTTTTTTAAAAAAAAAACGGGATATTTATAAATGAATAAAAAAAAAACTTTTAGAGAATCTGAGTTTTTGATAAAAAGGCTGAAATTCGAGAGACAAAAGCGAAAAAAATCTCATCCCTGTATAAAGGTCAACCAGTTTTATCCCAAGGAAATGATTTTTAGAGAAACTTCAGGGGAGGAATGAGGACTTCAATAATTTCGCTCAGCGGAAAATTAAATTCCTCATGAAATATTTTAACTTGTGCAAAAAAAAATTTCAGCTGAAATTAGCGGAAAAAAATGGAAAAATCTGAGAAAAAGCGGAAATTCGCGAAGAATCTCATCCCTGATAATTCAGATCGAAAATCAATATAGGAAAGGAAAAATCCCATTTTGAAAAAGGGAAAATCAAGCACCTTTTAAAAACACCCATTGAAAAAAGCACCTTTAAGGGCTTTTAAAAATAGAAAATAAGCACCTTTAAGCACTTTTTAAATTCAAAGGAGCAATGTTAAAAAATGACTAATATGTGTATCTGAGAAATATTCAATTTAATGAAGTATTTCCATGAACTATCTTACAAACTTTGATGCTGAAATAAAATTTATAAAATTAATATTGTTAGCACATAAATAGCAGAAATAAAGAAAAAACTTATATTTACATTTTTTGCCTGTCAATAGCTTGTTTGACTCTAATTGCTTTCTGCCCACTATAGATTTTGCATACAGCTGAAATGTAAATTTCAATTAGAAATCCTATCATAGACATTGGACATAGACAATCACAATTTTACAAAAATAATTTTTTGTGGATGCATATAATCTAAAATCCTAACATATATTAAAAATGTTAACATAGAACAAAACTAATTAAATGCTTAAATTATCAAGTTTAACTCTCTACAATTTAGAAACAAAATTTAAAATGCTATCATAATTTTGTGATATGAACAATAATGTTTCTTCAAAGATATAATAGTCTGGTAGTTCTTCAACAAATTAAACAGAAATCCTAACATTGCAAGCAAACAAACACGATATTTTTTTTACATAAAGCCAAATTGTCTTTATAGTTGTATTTGAATCTATACATATCCACACATCTATATAGAAAAGTAATAAACATACCTTTTAGGTATTGATCAATTAAAAAAATAACAGCATCTTGGTGATCTTTTAGTTGTTGAGAATATGTCTTTTTGACTGAAAAAAATTATTAAAGCATATAACACATAAAAAAATAATAATAAATTTTAAAACAATAGAAATTTTGTTGAAATTTGAGAAAAAAATTCAATTATTGCTACAGATTTTTAAAAATCGCTTTGTTTTTAAAAATATTATGTTATACAACTAGATTAATCATTTTTCATTCACTTAATTGGTAACAATTATACTGCAGATTTACTTGGTTTTGTCAAGTGCTTCTTTTTTAACAGTCATAACTATTGATTTTTATAAGATCTTTAAAATATATTTTTTTTTATGTAATATTATTATATTAGGACAAGTAGAGTTTTTCAAAATATCAATTTTTACATACCTTCAGTCCTTAGAGTTTTAATAACTTCTAGGCACATCTGCATAAAGGTTTGCGCCTCACTATCAATTTTATCACGCTCACTGTCTGTCATATTTGGTACGCCATTCAAAATATGGCTGAAACAAAAACGAACAATAGAAAAAGTTGTTATTTACATACAAAAGGGAGGCAGAAAAAAAATTTCCTATCTAGTTTTCCCCAAACAATTAAACATCGATAAGGGTAAATAAGGTAACAGTCGAACGCGAATAACATCTATACACTATTTGTTATCGTTCGACCATAATCAAGCAATTGGCACTATCGCAGTGCCTGTGGAAAGTGGAGGCAAGCCTCTTCGTCTGGTCCCACAGTTTCATTGGTGGACCTTTTGGAGGATGGAGTTATCAATGATACGTGGGCCGGGATAGCCTGGTTGGTAGGGCACCGGACCCATGTCCAAGAGGTTGGGGGTTCAATCCCCGCTTGCCGAAGACTCCCCGTGCAGTAAATGGTGACTGACACACGCTAAATCTGCCGAATCACTAAGTCTTCCCATAACAAATCATTCTGGAGGTACTGATCCTGGAGTTTCCTTGTCTTCTGGATTGGTTCAAAATTACAAGACTATGGAGTTGAACATTAGTAGTCGTAAACCCAAAATTGGGTCGGCTGTTCAAAAAAATGGTTAAAAAATGGAAAAAAAAATATCTGAAACGTAGTATTGTTACACCTTGTTAAAAATGGAAGGAAACCGTTTAGAAAAAAAGGCTCTGTTTTTTCGCACCTGGCATTTTGTGTGGTATAACAATACGAGGTCACACTCAGTGATAGCAATGAAAATCTAGGTTGGGAGTGAACTTGAAGAGGAATTTCGACTGATGGTGCTCTTGGGACAATGAAGTCGCACGAATATTTTTTCCATACGCAGTCCTGATTTTTTTCCAGGTAGTCTTTTTAAAGTTTATAAAGTGGTACGACAAATCTTTAAATTAACTCGGTAATTATGTTGAAATTATGTCACCTTATTGTTGTTGTTGACGTATGCCTGTTTAGGCAGAGGGGGTGCGATTGCTCTTGTTTTCCAGTGGCGTCATCTATGGTCAAGAATTCGACTTCTGCTACACCATACGTCACACCCGTTTATAGGGCAGACCCATTTATACATCCACAGATCATAATTTTGACCTGTATCAGAGAACGATCGATCTCCAATCCAGTTCCCCCAGAGGTATTGATTTGTTACGGGAACATGGAGGACTTTAGCGACTCGACAGATTTAACATGCATCAGTCACTTTACTACACGGGGAGTCTTCGGCCGACAGGGATCGAACCCACGTACTTTTGAACTTGAGCCCAGCGCCCTACCAACCAGGCTATCCTGGCCGCATGACACCTTATAGAATAACTGTAATGACTCTCACTCATAATTTTTGTCACGATGATTATTACAATTTTTCAATGAATAAAAAAATTACATTTAGCTCTCGCACACACAAAAGGAATAGTCAATATAAATATTCAATTAATTATTAAAAGCAATGAAAAATTATTTTTATTGCTAACATGAACACTTGCAAAAGATGCTTGATATTTTTGATTATAGTTATTAATTATTATCATATATCATTAATAATCCAGAAATCTTATAAAAGCAAGCAGTAAAAAAGAAAAAAATACTTACTTTATGGTAATATAGTCCTTCCTATGTTCTAATAAAAATTCTTTCATTTTAGTGATAGTTCCTACCTGTAAGAATAATAAATAAAAAAATATTTGTAAATAATAAAGGGAGATTTTAAAAATATAGCATAGAAGGTAAAAAAAAAATTAATTAAAATGAGATCACTATAATAGAAAATAATCACATACTTTATGTAATGGAAAACCTCATAGAATCGTGGCAGAAAATTTCCACTAAGTTATTAAAAAAATTGGAGTTCTAACAATAGTCAATATGTTAGCGTCATGGCCTATAGGTTTGTACCTAAAATTTGAGGTTATTAAATATTTATATTTTTTTAAATCCGAGGTATAATTACAAACTTTTTGGAAAAAAAATGATTGTCATAGTTAAAAAAAGTTTTACTACAAACAGGGAAGTCAGCGTTTCAACAGGGAAGTCAGCGTTTTGTGTTCAGTGGTGTTTGAATAAATTTTTACATGGCTTTTCGCCACGATTTTATGTATTTATAATGAACAATAAATTCATGCAGCTATGATAGGGTACAAATCAGGGAAATATAATTAACAAAATGCATTTTTGAAGAAGCTATGGTTAAAATACATTTTGATACAGTAGTACCCAAAAAATTATGTATTTACCGTAAGTGGTACACCAAGAACTCACTGATAATACATAAATGGGAACTAATTAAAAAAAAATTAGGTGAAAAAAACAAATATTTGAATCAGAATTTTGAAATAAAGAAGGTTGATTTCGAGAAAAAGAAATAAAATATAATCTAAACGGATAATAATAGTTATTCAATTAAGGAGTACACAAACTATTAAAAAAGAATATTAGATTGACAATAAATTAACCATCACTGGAGTAAAGAACAGTTGAACGCTTTTTTACGGATCTCTGAAACGAATAACTAAATAAGAATAAACATGCACTTTATACTTGAATATATATTTCCATTAATTCTGAAATAGTATTATATCTATCTAACATAATATAAAGTATTTTTTTTTTTATCAAAAACTATCTCTCTCTTTAAATAAATTTTTATTTTGCTTTGTAAAAATTTTACTTTTATTTTGTTAATTTAGCTTAATACATACCACTTCTTTTCCTTTGATAGTAAAATCAGATTTAGTTTTACTATTCTTTAATATACTATTCTTGTCTTTTTCATTTATTCCTAAAGCTTTATTTCTAGTTCTCAGTGTTTTAACACAAGCTTTGAAAAGAGACGTAATATCCATGTTATAACACAAAATTTATCACAGTTACACGGGTAAATAAAAATAATTTCTTTAATAATTTTTTGGTTTAAAAAAGACGAATTAAAAACATTAAAATTATTTTAATGTTTTCACTTTTGAATTTGCAGCTGTCTGCTTGACGCAACGCAAACATCAACAAACTTTTTTGTGTAGCCACACAGGAAGTTGGCTGAGAAATATTTTAATTAAATAAATTTTAACTAACAATTATTTCCGAAACTATAATTTCTGTTCATAAAATATTATCATAATTGGTTTACTGTTTTTAAAAGTACTTTATGTGCTAATATTACAATTTTCAGTATTTTCTTATTAATTTCTTTTGAGTGATTTGTGATGGCAACAATGCTAATAGTAATAGTCGCCTGCGCTAATCGGATTCCTGATGTCTGAAATTACATTAAAATGTGCAAAGTTGATGAAACTTTCTCTCACACCTCTCTATGGCTATGTTGAAAAAAATATCTGTTATTTTTAATCAAGTCTTTTGATCTTAGTACTTAATATGATGTGACATTTTCCCTTAAAATTGGTTTCTACAAGGCAATATTTGTTTTTCGCCCCGAGGTCGTAAACTTCAAAGTGACACGATAGTTGTGTATATGACGTCGGGACAACATTCCATCTGATCTTTGGTGTCAGATGGGAGAATGATGTATGCTTTTTCTTTTAATTAAAGATTTCAAATTATCTTAATGATAATCATTGTATACCGATGAATCCTACTTCTTGAAATACCGTACACAATTTTTTAAGGAAACTCCTTACTGTATACCTTTCTTGTTTTTTTCCCGTTTTGAGACTCAGAACATAGAACAAGTTTTATAAAAACAACTGGAAATAACATATATTGTATGAATTATGTACTATGAAATTGCCTTTTCCGCCTCTGAGTTGAGTTCCTTTTCAAGGTTACGCCACGAGCAATGATGGTAGTAAATTTTGGAGTTAATGTGAAGATTCGTACAACGATTCGTTTTATAAGTCGTAGATGATATGGCTTTTTGATATTTCTGAATAAAAGTGTATGATATTGTGGATTTTTTTATTACTTACGTTTTTACTGGATTAGTTTAAAAGCCCAGGGTCAAACTTTTCCTAATGCCAGTTGGAAATGTCCTTCTTTAGTAATTTTAAGAAAATTTTTCACATTGCTGGAAATATTTCTTCTGAAGCTAAAAGAAGAAGAGTGTGCAATAACATTAAATTCAATGATGATCCAGAGCTGTATTGGGAAATTATTGGCGAGCTGGGTGATGGAGCATTTGGTAAAGTTTACAAGGTAATGTAATATTTTGTATAAAATACTTTGTACTATTTAATTGAATCTCTAGTATGTTTTTAACAGTATCTGTGGTTTTATTAATTTCACATTATGTTAACTGAACCTCCCATGATGTATTAAGCAATCTGTTTTGATGTTCATAGAATCTTATGGTATTCAATCAAAATTCATTGTTGAAAACATTCTGTTCTCTCTGCAGAATTTGTGCTAGTAAAATTTTGTGTTTGAGGATTTTGTCTAGACTTGATCACATATAAACTGTAATGCATTTCAAAGATCAATATTTGTTTACCGTGTATTCTTAGTTATATTTGGGATGCACAAGTCTTAAATTTATTTTATCTCGTTAACTTTTTACCCTAAACTCAGTTCGAAACACAATTTTTTTCTTCCTGAATTGAAAACTGTTTTGTTTGCTTGCATTTCAATAACGAATTGTTTGAGGGAAAGAATTATTATTAAATAAAAATTTGTGGCTCTTATAACACATTTAAAGTAAACAAATTTTAGAACTAGTCATTGTATACTTAAATTTTTTAATTTGTGTGTAATTTGGTGATCTATGCAATTTTTTTTTGTTTACTTTTATGTAGTTTGGTTTCTGTAATTGACTTAATTAGATGTAAAACAACAATTTAACAGTAAATTATACAACCAAATGTTAACTATATAACCACAAATCTTCTTAAATTCAAATGGGTTTGTTTACTTCGATTGCTTTCAGACTAACATACTTGTAGCAAAATATGTATACATGAACAAAAAAATATTGTGATTTTAATTGTATATTTTAATACTTTAATAAAATAAAAAAATGAATTCCCATACAGTTCCTTCTGAATAAACAAAAATTCTTGGATATAATTTTATTTTATTTTGAATTTTTTGTTTTAAGCAGAATAGTATTTTTTGTCAAGCAGTATATTTTTCCTTTGAAGTAATGTAAAAATATGTACCAAATGAGTTGTTGTTAAATCTGTTATACTGCAAAATCATAGTGCTGAAAAATACTATTAGTAAAATCAAGATTTTATCAGCATTTTTTTAAAGCAGTACATCGATACATTTTATTTTGAGATGTAGAAAATTCAACATAATCATTGCTGTGTAACTTATTGCAATAAAATGATTACTGTATTGTAAATATTAAATATTTATACTCTTGTGAAAGTTTTAATTATGCAAATGCTCAATTCCTAGTATATTGGTAGAAATAATATTGTATTTAAAATATACAGATTTTAAACATACTGTGGAAATTGCTGAGCTGGTAGTAAAATATTTGTAATAATTGGCGCAAAAACAAACAAACAAAGCAATTAGAAAATGATGTTGATTTAAGGCAGCTTAGATTCAATTTGAGCGTGTCAAAAAGGGATCAGTCAAATTTGAAATTCATGTATTGTAATAACTTATTAAAAATATAATTATTTGAAAAATTATGTAAAAAAGATTGTTGAAATGAAAAATAACTGTTAAGAAAATAGTAGTAAAATGATGTACTGGATGAATAATAGAATAGTCAAAATAAAGCGTTTCAATAGGCTATAACTGAAATTCAAAATTTGTGTCTTAAAATATATTAAAAATTCTGAATTTATTGAAACTAAACTCAGTGGCGTGACCGTCCATAGAGGGCCAAGGCCTACCGTGCCCACCTCAGTTTCCTTTACCTTTGGGCTCTGGGATGCAAGAGCTGATGTTCCGTTTTGTTGGTCAGCCCAACATTGAACCCACACTGTTTAGTTCCCAAGCATGCTTGGTACTCTTTTTATTGATTTACTGAAAGGCTGCGTCAACCTTGGCCAGTCTGAGGATCGAACAAAGGACCTGCCTCATGATAGCGTAAAGCGCTACCACTCAGCTAGCAGACGTCAAAACTAAATCAATTTATTAAACCATGTTAAAATGATTGAAAATAGAGTGGCATCTTCCTTGGAATCATCGCAAATTGAGTATGTAAAAAATAACTACCTATTCAAATTTGAAATTCACACGTCAGAACAGAATAACATTGTGTTTAAAATATCAGAAATGTTTAAATTTTTTTATTTTTTTTGGCTTAACAGCAGGTACTGAACTTTCGTTCTTTACCGTGGAAGTGTTTTTCATTTAGCGTTACCTAGTGGGCACCTGTGAACCTAAATCACTGAGGCGAGCAATATTACCCACGCCACAAATACCTGTTCATAGGATGGGTCACATTCACACAACACAGAGAGAAACATCCATGCCCAGAGCGGGTTTCGAACCCGCACACATTGGCTTCGCAGTCAGGCACGCTAACCGCTCGGCCACCTGGCCAGCAATATCGGAATTTGGATGATCGTGTAAAAATTTTATAAAACAAGAAAAGTAGCCGAAATAGCTGCTGGGAAAATGTGAACTTTGCGCCTGACAATATTATCTTTATTAAAAATACCAAATTTGTTAAATCATGTAGGGATCACCAAACAAAACAATTAACAACTATTGGACAAGGGTCGAAAAAATAAAGTTTAACAACAGAATCGTCGTTAATCGAGAGCGTAAAGAAGTGAAAACTTTAATTTAAATTAGTGTGCGGTAACAATATCATATTAAAAATATCAGAATTTAAGAAATTTTGTGGAAAAACAATAAAAAGTGTAGATTATTAGATGTTATCTAAGAATTTTTTCTATTGCATTTTTCTGTAGTGAGCATTTACAGTCGAACTCGTATATAACGAGCACAAAGGGACCGTAACATGTACTCGTTAAATCCGAGTGCTCGTAATAAACGGGTCCTTAAAGCAGGCGTGCAAATAAAAGTGGGGGGGGGGGCTTGGGAGGTAAAATGATTAAGTTTACTTAAAATTTAATTAATACTTACTTACTTTAATTACATTAATTAATTTAATTAAACACTTTTCTTAATTTAATGACAACTAACCCCTTCCCCCCAACAAACTAAGAATATCCAAATTATTAAGCAAATTTTTCTGCTTGCACTTTTAGAATTGGTCCACTCGCGGGTAAATCAGCACTACGTTGCACCTTCATCCATTTCAATAACGCTTCGTCCAAATCCTCTTTCGAACACTTCTTCAGTCGTTTACAGTCTGTTTTATTTTGGTCGTATGCATCCATTAAGTTGTCTTTGTTTTTTAGCAGTGTGGAAACAGTAGATGAAAACAATCCATACCTTTTGCAGATTTCGACTTTTTTAACACAGTCATCCAACTCCCGTAAATTTTTTACTTTTTCGTCAACCGATAAAGCTTTAAATTAGAGCGATAAGGGCAATTAAGTTTCAGTCCGCGGGTTTTTTTTTTTATTTCTCGCGCATTTCTTATCATTTTGAAAAATAGATGAGACAGAAAGACTAGAAAGATGAGAAAAAAGATTGCAAGACAGAAAAATATTGCTCGCTAAAACCGGATCTTGCTCGTTAAAAGCGACTTCTGTTCCATAGACTGAACATTGAGCCAACCAAATATTCTCGTTTCCCTTGGTAAATCCGAGTTCTCGTTAAATCCGAGCTCGTTATAAACAAGTTCGACTGTATCATTTTTTTAATAAATTTTTTAAAAAAAAATTTATTTATATTTTAACTACCAATTTGCTACTTGCTTGTTGGCAAAATTGCACCCTGATGGTAATGCATGTATAAATAATATAGTGTCTTTATTTGTTTTAGGCTCAAAATAGAGAGAATGGGAAGTTAGCTGCGGCTAAGATATGTGAATTGAAAGGGGAAGATGACTTGGATGATTTTACTGTTGAGATTGATATTTTGTCAGAATGCAAACACGACAATATCGTAGAATTGTTAGAGGCTTACTTTTATGAAGCTAAATTATGGGTAATTATATGTTTTCTGCTGTTATATTATATGTTGTTGTTGTAATTTGATTGCGGGGGTCTGTCCACGCTTTTTAAAGAGGTATACTTATTTTGTGAAAATTTAGACATGATTTGTGAAAAGTAAAAATTTTGTTAAAAAAATTAACCTAAAAATATAGTAAAGAAAATATTTTCAAAATTATCACTACAAATTAAAATCAAAATGTGTAATTAACCTGGGATTTATCATTTTTTAAGAAGATATAAGAGCAAAATTAAGTGTTGGGAAGGATAATCTTAGAATTCGCCTTTTTAAAATTATTTTATGAAACTACCATTATCCATTTTTTCTGAAGTTGAATTGGTGAAGGAATTGAATTTGTTTTTTATTCAAGAATCTCGAGTTTTGTGTTGAGTTTTTATGTATAATTTTTAATACAGTACAGAATCCGTAATCCGGAAATCAGAAAACCGGAAAACCAAGAAACCAGAACGAAATTTGATACATTTTCCCGCCATTTAAAAAAAAAAAATTTTTTTTTTCCTCATAAGATTTTAGGATTTTTCTTTTGAAAGATACCTTACCATCATTTTGGGAATAATGATTAGTGTATTACTTCATAATTTTTTCTTGTTTTTAAGATTATTTCCAAATAAATAAATTTTTTTAATTGGGTTTAACAATAACAAAAACGGCTTTTTGTAGCAATTCAGAAAACCGGAAAAATCAGTTATCCGAAATAGCGATGGTCTGGATCGCTGCGTTTACTGTTAAATCCTATTGGAAAGTTTATCTATAACTGTTAACGATTATAATAACAATAATTCTTAAAGTCAAGTATTTTATCTTTAATTATCAAGAATTATGAAATGTTATTGTTTGCTACGATTATTCGTAAAAAGTTATATTTAATTACTACTTCTTTATATTTAATTGTAAATTCATGCATAATATTCTTATTATAGTCTGTTCAACGAGAACTGATAGCGAAAGTAAACAAAGCGGCGTGCTATTTGGCGAAATACAGCTGTCTACTTGGCGCCAGAATAATGACAAATAGCGCCTATCAAACAAGCAAAAACTCTTATTTTTAGAAGGTTGTTTGTTTCGCCGTGGTGTCTTTTTGTAAGTGTATCATGAGTAATATGGAAAATAAAGCGATGGATTTAAGTCCTCCTAAAAAACGACAGAAGAAATCTTACATAAGTAAAGCTGAGAAAGAAATAATATTGAACATTTACAAAACGGAAGTGCATTCAAAATAAATATCAATTTAAACGACGAGGATTCATTTTTACTTTTTAATGATATAATTATTCCTTATTATCCATGATTAATTGATCATTAATACAGTAATTCTTAAAATTTTGTTCTTTTCTGAGTAGTTTAATATAATTATTTTCGTTATCGGTACAGTTGTTAATTAAGTACAGAAATTCAAATGTTACGTAAAATTAAATAATTTTGACACTTGATTCTATTTTTTCAAAAACCTATTGAATTCGAGGTTTACAAACTGCTTTTTTTTATAGGTTAAGTGGGTATATTTTTCTTAACAAAAGATTTTGTGAGACATATAAAAAAGTTCCAAGTTTCTTTTAGTGTAATTATTTTCGTAATACTTCCCTTAGAAAAATAAAGATAATTAACAATTTAAAAATACAAATAAATGCAGTTCCTTCTAATATATTTTTAAATCAATCGGTGAAACATAAAACTATTTTAAATATTATTTAACTTCTAATAAATTTTAAAAAAAATTGTAATTATGAAAATAAAAGAGTATTTTTTTAACATTTTTTAACATAACTTTCAATTCTATACGACTTTTACGATGGAATTATAAAAGTTATGTTTTTCATAGATATTTATGCAAAATATATTAAAACTAATTTAATCAAAACTTAAAGAAATATAAATATATATTAAAACTATTCTTAAAATAAAATTATGTGTTTACTGAAACACTTAGAAACGTATTTTCATGAAAATATTTTAATTTTGCACTTTCTTATCTAATTTTAAGGTATCAAAAACCAAACATCGTTTTCGTTTTTCTATAAAAGCGAAAGCTCTGTCGATTCAAATGAAATCGCCCATTCAGCGAAGAAACCGTTAAAGTGGCAAACGTTGGCGATCAAACAGCAACCCTTTTGTTTACTTCCACTCTCAGTTCTCGTTGAACGGACTATAGTAATATATCTGGATAAAATTACATAGTAAAAATACCTCAAGCTTGTGCTAATTTGAATTTAATAATGTTATATGTATTATTATACTTCTGATTATTGCAATTTTGAATTTTTTGCAATATTTTGATCATGATTTGTATTTTGGCATGTTAAAAAATGAAGCATATATAAAAAGGTAAGATTTATAACTGAATGTAAACAATACTTTCATTTCATTTATGAATGCCTGACATAAATGATAAGTAGATGAAAATGTAAATATAATATGGATATATAATACTTTTATTGCTCTTCCGAAATTACTTAGGTTAGGGCATTTTTTTCTCGCTCTATTGAATTTAAATAAAAGTACATTATGTAAGTAGTATAAAAAAATGTAGACCAGTGTTTTCATCTCAGAAAAAAAATGGGTGAGAATTTCTCACCCTTTCTCAAAAACAGGGTGAGATTTCAAAAAGTTAAGTGAGATTTCAAAAAAAAATATTAAATAAAAATCCTTTCTTTAATTATAATGCATTTTTAACATCTTCTAATTTTTAAAGCATTGAATATTGTTGCTGCATCATCATATGGAAAATATCAGCTATTCTCATTAGGTTGGTCTAATGCGTATTTGTTTCGTTTTGATCGTTTCTACCCACATTTGTTTCATTTTCATTTGTCCGTTTCGGAATCGAAGATATTGGCTTTACAAGGTATTTATCCATCTTACATTAATGTGCAAAAAATTTGAACGTCTTACATGAAGAAACCTTACCTACGGTAAACACGTGGTTGCAGAGAAATGCGTTCTGAAAGAGGTTCCGTGGTCCGGAAGGATGGTGTTCTGTTGTTCTTAAAGGTTCTGAACAATACTGGTAAATAGGGAAGCTAGATAATGGGGCAGATGTTGAAAATAATAAAAGATCCAGGAAGAAAAGTGAAACGGATTTTATTCTAAATGGCGCAAATGAGAAATTGTTTTCAAAATGCAAGAAATTCGCGAATTTTGAAATTTTTTTATAGAATGCGCGAATTTCTCGCGGTAATCATTTTTTAATGCGAGAATATAAAAAAATATGCGAGATTCTCGCGTTCTCGCGCTGTAGTGAAAACACTGTAGACCTTGACATATTTTTAAAGTTACGAATGTAATTTATTTTATACTGTACATATTTATTATCACTAATGTAGGGGGGCATCAAAAATATTTTTGCTTACACTTGAAAATCGGCATGGGCCGGCCCTAGATAGAATCACTGGTATAAATTCTAGTTTAAGTTAATTCCCCTCCCTGAAGGTTGTGATTTAAATCTAAAACTGATTTTAAAATTTTATCAATGCTTTATTTGATGTTTACAAACTGTTATAAAAATATTAAGTGTAAAATTCATTATTTTTGTTTTTAATTTTATAAGCTAAATTTATGTAATGTTTAAATTTTAAGAATAGTATTGTATTTTATATTATAAACTGTTCATTATAGTGTAAATTCATGGCTTATATTGTTGGCTTAGATAAAATAAAAATCTTTCTGTGAATTCAAAATCTCAATTTAAATCTCAATTTCTGTGAATTCAAAATCTCAATTTCTTGCAACTAATTTTTAACCTTTGTGACAAAATTTCTTCAGAAATCACTGAAGTGTTCTAATTTTTGTTAAACTCCATTTTGATTTTATTTCATATACAAGCATATATTTCTGTGCTTGTATATGTATTATCTAAGCAGTTTTTTGATGTAAAACTGACTTAAATATATATATCTGTAATCAACAAGACTAATCTGGAATCGTATTTTTAAATTTTCTGATACTAATTTGCTTCTGAAGAATGCTAATTTTTGTATTACGTACTTCTTTTGAATGTTTTATCCCTTAATGATTTATTTTCTTTTTTAGATATTAATTGAATTTTGTGAAGGTGGTGCTGTAGATACTATAATGGTGGATCTGGAAAAGCCTTTGTCTGAACCCCAAATTCGGTATCTGTGCCATGAAGTCTGCCAGGGTCTCCAATTTTTACATGAAAACAAAATCATCCATAGGGATTTGAAAGCTGGAAATATCCTCCTAACTATGGATGGAGGGGTTAAATTAGGTATTTGCATTCTTATTGAGAATTAACATTTTAAATAGGAATGTAACGAATAGTGATTTGACTGAATACTGAATATCCGGCGAAGGAATAGCAACATTGTTTTTTACAAAAATCATTAATAAATATCATTTTTATTTAGAAGTAAGTTTAGTCATAATTGAAAAGTAAGAAATACTTAGCTGTATTATTGGTATGTGGTAATGGGAAAAAGACTTTAATAGAAATGTAGATAAATGTAAGATAACAATTAGAAATATTTAAGATAAAAAACACTCACTAACAGCTAGTAAAAAAAGAGAAAAGAGTTGAAAAGAAATAGAAAAAAATATCCTTTTAATTCTTAAAACAAACTTTAATGCTAGAAAATGATAGTTTCTGCAAAAAGAAAATTTATCCATAAAACTTAAAAAAAAAGATGCCAATGAGAAACACTTAAAAATACTGCGCTAAAAACGTCTATAAAAAAACAAAGATTATATGCTAAAACTCAACAGAAAAAATAGTTTTTGAACGAAAATTTTCAATCTGCATCTTCAAGTAAAAGTGAAGATTAAAGTCTAATAGGAACCCTCTTAATGGACACATCATAATAAAATTGTCTATAAAAAACATAAGTCTTTTAGAAAAAGAAGCTAGATGGAAACCAAAACAAACATCATTAATTTCAAACAAAAGGTTTAACGCTAAAAGTATTAATTTAACTTTTTCACACTGCCATATTTTTCGGAAAAGAAATTAACTATAAAAGCATAGCGCTCATAAGAAACGGTCTTTAAAAAATGTTGTCCTAATAAAAGCGCTGATAAAAATGAAAGTTAATTAAAAAAAAAAGAAACCAAAAGAGAAAGAGAAGAAGAAAAAATTGTTCTTAGTTTTGAAATATGTTAAGAATCTCAGTTTTCTATGTTACTAGTTATCTGCCTTACCATACAAGAAAAAAGTGACAATAAAAGAATGGAGTTTATTAGAAATGCTTCGTTAACATGCTTTACTTTTGTTAAAACAGAAAAACAAGCAAAATTGACACTAAAAAAAGTTCTCAATTTTTAAAACGTGAAGTGTTGCTTGATATAATAATAAAAAAAGAAAGTAAACATTAAAATACTCATGGTTTATTATAAAGTAAACTAGTTTAAATTCTTCAAATTTTGTTTTCAATGTGACTTTCAGAACATAAATTAGCAAGTTTTAGAGCTTATCAATTATGCGTAAAAACTATTTATAATAATGCATAATAAAAAAAAACGATTTTAGATTATTCTTTTTTAAATCTAATAAAATTCCCCCCTTCCCCCCAAAAAAACTTTGAAAATAATTTTACAAATAATACTTTGCTGAAAATTGGCGAAAGGGCTGAATATTCGTCACATACCTAATTTTAAATACCATTTTTCGCTGTTAATGTCTTAAATTTTAAGTGTTTCGATTTGACATTTTTATAAATAACTGTTGTGTATGAGTATTCTTTCTAACTGATTTTTAGAAGGGTGGCCCACCCTTTATGCTCCTTCCCCTTTTTGTGAAAATGTTGTTCCTCTATTTAGAAAAAAATTGCTCTTTTATTTATTTTAAGAAAAAGGTAACATGGCAGGAGCCAGAGACTTCAGATATTACCATAATTAGTAGAAATTATTTTTAGACTGTCATTATAAAATACTATTATTTCTTATATTTATTTGAGTATTTTTAATTCTGTTTTGAAGAGCACTTATCTAGCTAGATATAATTAATATATTTAGCAATATTGGTGCCCTTTAAAAGGGAAAGTGCCCTTGCTTTTGAAAAAACGCTCTGCCCTATTTTGTCTTCAGGAAATCTCTGGTGTACGTACTATTTTTTATTAAATGTTTTTTCACACATTTATTTATTTATTTTTTACTTTTTTTTTGACTCTTCAGATTAATAACTAATTAAAATTTAGCATGATTTTTTTAAAAAACTGTTACTGTTATACCAGAAAATTTCAGAACTTGGGAAATTTTCTTAATGCTATTTTGAGCTTTAAGAAACTACAAAAGATTTAGAAATTTTACTATAAAGGTTTGTTCTATTCTACTCTATTTTAATTCCCAATTAAAACAATTTTGAGTACCAGTGTTTTTATTGTACTCTTATTATTATTATTATTTTTAAAATTTTATGAATATTTATTAATATTTTTTTCTGTAAAGAAAAGTATGAAAATGTCACTAGTCTAAAAAAAATCTATTTCAGTTCATAAGAATAAAATATTGCAATTTCAAATATATGAAGTGTGTCATATCCTGTTTAAGGTACTGACATGTGCTAATATATTGTATCAAATTTCTCAGTCTTATTTGCATAAATTAAATTGTTTTCTTTTTTTATCAGTTTTATTGCACATTAGTAGAATTAGTTTTCTTCTCTCATGTTTAATAATTATGATTAATAAGAAATTTTTTACTGTATTTACAAATGTTGTATATTTAAATAGTTTATCATTTAGATATCAATTTTTTTAAATTTTTTTAAATTTTAGCTGATTTTGGTGTGTCTGCTAAAAACAAGCATACACTTCAAAGGAGGGACTCATTTATTGGAACTCCTTATTGGTAAGAACGTTTATTATTATTTATTATATTTAAGTAACCAGTGCTTTATTAAGCATGAAATGTATAACTATTTTTGATTGTACCATGGAAGTAATTTTTGTTTCTTTCTACAAACAATACCAAGCTTTGAAATTGCTATATTTTATTATCATAGCTGTATTTAATAGGTTCAAGGAAATTTACTTCAATATCATTACCATTGTCAGGGATGAGTATCCTCTACGAATTTCCACTTTTTTATGATTTTTACCAGTCTTTCACTTTTTGTGTTTTCAATTTCAACTATTATATCTATTAGAGTAATTTCCGACTTCATTTTCCACCCTCTGAAATCGAGCTGAAAAATCTTTCGATCTTTTTATGATTGCTAATATAATCAAGATAAGAGTTCTTTGTTAGAAACTAGTTATTTTATCATGATCATGTATAGTCTTTGAAAATTATTTTCCATTTTGTTAACGTATATAAAGCTTTAAAATATTTTTTGGGTGCTTAAAAAGTACTTTAAAGGTGCTCATCTGTTGTTGAGAAAATGAGCACCTTCTGTTCTTACATCTTATAGCAGGGCTCAAAGTTGTCCTTAAATTCCTTAATTTCCTTTAAAAAAAAAAGAAAGTGTTCCTTAATTATTAAACACTTCAATAAATGTCTGGAAATTTTTGTGATTTTTCCAAATTTTTTTAACAGGAAGAATAAAGATTATTTATCTAAAAAAGAATTGAAGGAATTTAAAGTTCAAAAATTGTGTTTTATGCCATGAAAAAAAGTAAATAGCAAAATGAACTATAAAGTTTTCATAGCGCTGTATGATATTTATTTGCTCCCAGTGTTAGAGATAGTTATCCTTGATTTAATGGCATAAAAGCATTCTATTTGGGAGAAATATATAAAAAGCTCTTATCTCTCTACTCCTATCTCATCACTGTATCATACTCAACTGTTTTTCACTAGAGAATCCTCATATATCCGTATATTACTTAACGATTTTCCAATTTAGACTATTTTCTCCTCTTTTTCTGTAAACAAAAAGAACAAAAAAGAAATTTTTTTATAACTTAATTTTCTGAGTTTTTTTAAATGTTTCTTTTTTCACTTGAGTGCAGGAACTACTATAACTATTGCCAATTGTATATCTGGGGATCAATGTTGGTATCGTACAAATTTCTCCCATCCTGAAATTGTGATTAAGGGGGGACCCCCACCCTGAAATGGTAAAATATTAACGTTTTTCTTGAATTTTTTTTAAGTAATAGAGACAATGCAGAAACTCCTTGTTTTTTAAAATGTTATTTACCTACAATTTAAGTCTATTTTAAAAATTTTGCTTTTACAAAATAATAAAAAATAAGTTGGTGGCAGCTCCGTGTGTGGCTGGTCATCAAAAAGTAGCACCTCACTGGCCTCATGGATTTAGAAGTCCTGAAACATAGGAAAACGATTTTGTTTAGATTTTCTGAAACATAAAGATATTATCTAAAAAGTAGCATAGCGGTTTTTTGATATTCACAAAATTACCTACTTTAAAAAAAAGTTAAGTTTTTCTTTAAAAAAAATATTCATTAAAATACTAACATAAAATCGAAATATTAAAATATCAAAATCCTATGCTACTTTCTAAAGAATATATTTTTACGCGATTTAAAATGAAGAACAGTTTATTTCGTTGTATAGATCATGATAAAAACGTTGGGCCAGGTCAAAAAACATCGTTTTGATAAAAACACGTTTAAAGTATTAACTTATGTTAGGGGAAAACGTTTAATTTCATATATATAATGGTCGATAAAGGAAATGCCTACAATAAGTTTCTATATACAATCAGCGGAATGGATGAGACACAAAAAGAATGTCGCCCCTCCTAATCCGGCCGAACGGGCCTTTCTACCTGCTTAGCGACGAGTCTCTATTTTCCGGTATAACTTCCAAACAAAGTTAGGTACCGAGAAATCGTTTTTGACAGACATTAAGAAGGGTACAAAGATTCGAAAAATGCATTAAAATGTTTTTCGAATTTTTGAAAAATTTAGGGTGGGTTTAGAGGCAATTTAGTCTTTAATTTTTGTATTATGGACTTCCAGCTCTGTATATGTAAGTAAGGAAAAAACACATGGCGGTTAGCTATTGGTTGGCATGTTACTCACATTTAACACTAGCAAACTCCTAACTAACACAGTGACACTAGCAAACTCCTGTTTATTTCTGTACTTTCTTTTATTGTTTCTGACAGAGCAAAAATATTATCATTCTAAGCAGTATGATAAAATATTTGATAACGCGGTAGGGAAACCCGGATTATTTGTTGTTAATTGTTCTGGTTATAATTGTTCTGTTAAATCTATTTTTCCCCACTATAGAATCTATTGTTTTTGTTCACCAACAGGATGGCTCCTGAAGTTGTTCTCTGTGAAACCTTTAGAGATAACCCTTATGACTATAAGGCTGATATTTGGAGTTTGGGTATAACTCTGATTGAACTTGCTGAAATGGATCCACCTAACCATGAAATGACACCTATGCGTGTGCTGCTTAAAATTCAGAAGCAAGATCCACCAACTCTTACTCAGCCATCAAAATGGTATATTTGGTGTTTGGTTCATCATTTATATTTAAAAAAAAAAATATATTATTTTTGATTTTTTGAAATTGTTTATAGTTTATAAAATTTAAAACCTGTTTTTATTATTATGTACTTATTTTGTGGTTAATTTTATTTTTGAAACTTATTTATATTTTCTTAGGTCTAAGCAGTTTAATGATTTTCTTACTAAATGCTTAATTAAAGATCCTCAAAAAAGGAGCAGTGCTAAAGAATTACTTGAGGTAAATAATTTATATTTGTTTAGATTTTTATAAAGTTTCTACTTTTTATTTTCTTATCTTGTTGTGATTTGGCTTTAATATGATAACAAAATTTGACTTTGATAACAAAAGATTTAAAGTTATCAAGTTTTTTTAAAATTCATTTAAATTGGTTTTCGTTTATCTAAGTTTTTTTTTCTTCACATTTGAAATAACTTTGAAGTACTTTAATTTCTTTCAGTAAATAATTATTTAATTATTGAATGAAATTCTTGATGTTTTTTTTAGAATTATTACCTGTTAATATTACTTTTCCCTGTGTTTGAATAATGTGCTAAAAAAAATTAATAATGTAACTGAAAAAGTATTTTTAACAGCACCTTTACTACAATCACTTATAAGTAAGTAAGGGCAGATTTATTCTTCCTATTTTGCTAAAACAAAACAAATGATAAATTTTAAAAATCTCTTAGAGGAACTTAGTTGAGAATATTTTTTTAGTTTAACTCTTTATAAAAGGTTTCAAAAAGTCATTATCTTCAGAACTGGGCCTTATATTAAGAGTGGAATTTTAAGAATAGAATGTGTTGTTTTTGTTATTTCGTTTTATGTCTGGTATTTTTTAAATTTTGTTATTTAGAATAAAAAAATGCTGCTTTTACTTATGTTAATAATTATTATTATTTTCTTTAAACAAAATTAAGGGCAAAAATTATTTAGTTTTGTGAAAGTTCTGAGTGACATTTTATCTAAAGTACTAATGTTACATACAATGACAGACTTAAATTTTATTTTTTAGCACCCCTTTATTGCTTCAGCTTTGGATAACAGACCTTTGAGAGAATTGATTAGTGAACATAAAGCAGAAGTGTTTGAAGAAGTTACAGAGGAAGATGATTATCAAGAAGTATGATTTATAAATATTCATTTTATCATAACAAAAATGTCATTGTATTATCATGTCTTATCATAACAAAAATGTGTACATATAGTTGATAATAATTCTCTCTAATGTTTAGGTTCCTTCTGGTTTATCATCTTCCCACATGAGTGTAAATAGTGAAATAGGTGACAGTAGTTCCAATATAAGCGATACTTCGGATACTTCTAGCTCTAAACGAGAAAGTATGTGCTTTATTTCAGATTTACTTTGGTCAGGAATGTAATTTCTTAGTTTTTTTTTTCATTACTCTATTATTGATTACGATTACAAGTTTTTTTCTGCGTTTTTTTATATGTTGTAATCACTTTATTTTTAGAGAAGTAACTAAAGTATTCTTAATTTATTGTGTAATAATTTTTACAAAGAATTAAAATTTGAAGCTAATATTACATAATAATTTGATGAACTTAGTTTTAGTTTGCTCTCTCTTATTAATAACTCTGGATAATTGTATCTTATTATTTTGTTTTTAACTTATTTTACTTTATTTTACTTATTTTTTGTTTTTAACTTATTGCAGACTTACTGTCTGCAATCACCAAAACTCATAAGGCTTACACCTTAGCAGTTGCTACGGTTATACGGATTGCTACAGTTAAACTTTCAAAATAAATATGGGTTGTTAGTTTTTTTTTTCTTATTGCATAGGTCAACAACATGGATAATAAAAAACAATAATTTAAACTGTTATTATACAAGGCTTAAGCACAGTTCAGAAAATGAATAAATAGTTTTCTCATGTTCCATTTAAAAATAAGTTTTTTCATTAATTCCTATTGGAAATGGGGTTTGCTGTTTCTATAGTGGCTGACAAGTCAGTAACTTATAAGATTGTTTGATTTCATTGTCGAGTACATATATATATGTAAATATTTATATAGCCGACGCTCGATAAAACGACCCCTGTAGTTTAAAGAACTGTGGGCGTTATAATGTAAATTTGCTATAACGGGAGTACTCAAAACTATATCAAATATTTTCTTAAAATGGTGGATTAATTTTGACGCAATCCACTACCAATCTAATTCTAAATATATGTTATGCTTATTATGAGCAGCCATTTTCACTTAATAACACATGTCCAGTAAACTAAGAAGTTGAACCAAAATAGTAATAGTAAAAAAAAAAAGAAAGTAGGAATGGGAATACCACTTGTTTTCATCTCAAGGATAAACTACCTATTACAACAATTCATGAAAAGTGAAGATAGTTTTCAGACAAGAAAAAATTTGATTTGTAAACTTATTGAATCTTTGGTACTTTTAGGTTAGCTTTGCACAAGCAAAAAGTTGCTAAAAAATTTTGCCGTTCACTAACTATTTTATTTATTTACTCTATTTCATATTTTTTTTACTTTATTTTATTTATTTATTATTCACATATAATAATTAAACAGAGTAAAATAAAATAAATGAAATTAAAAGGAAATTGAAAAGAAAATATTTGAATTTTTCTAGACCTGGTTAAACGAAAAGTATTGAAATTTTCAAAATGAAATTTACAAAGGTTATCAATGTATACAAGAGACTCCTATTCCCTGAAAAGGGGATATTTACTTCTTAATTCTCAATAATGAATATATCCTTCTAAATTCTTGATAACAAAATAAATCGATATTTCACCATAGATAATGCCAAGGACTAGAGGAATAAGAACTAATGGAATAAGAGTTGGTAGTTTTACCAGTCTTTTTTCTTTTATTCATAGAAAAATCAAGATATATAACCCATATTGAACAGTAACCTCAAAAGAAATAGTAAACTTTTTCTATTTATTGTCCATGGGATAGTGTTTATTTAGAAAGCTCAAAACGTTTTACAGCACTTTTTTCATGATATTCTTAAAATCAAAAGAGAAAAAATCAGTCCCTATATTGGTATGAATAGTTTAGTTCAGACATTCTAATAGGTGTTTAAATGGTATTACGTCTATAGAATAGCAAACGGGACTTTGTGTATTGGGCGTTGCAATGCAAGGGTCTCAATAATTGGGGGGGGGGGATACTGAAGAGTGTAGACTATTCTTGAAATAAAAATAGTGTAGTATGGATTTTGTCATTAAGCTCTATATTTGCTTGAGTCTGCTGGATCATTAGTAAATAAATATATCTATCATTATTTATCCATTCAGTAAAGTTGGGGCCTTATGTGAAGCTATTAGTATAATGTGAAAGCTATTAATATAATGGAAAAGTGTGAAGCTATTAATAAAAATTTTTTTTTTTAATCAAAGTTTTTCTTTATTTAAAGTGACTTAAAAGCTTAAGCTATATTTTGTTTAGCAATTATTTGTTTTTAGTTTTGAAAGTAATTATTCCAGCTTATTTAAGATTTCAAATCTAGGTTTAATTAATTCCAAACTTTGTAATTAATTCCAAACCTTAATCGAAAAGTATGGAAACTCTTGAGTAAAATGTCTGAAAAATAAATTTCATGGAGAATTTTTTGAGTGAAACTGAACTATATATTGTATAGACTACAGCTGCATATACATTATAGCTAAGTTATTATAAATTAAATTTCACCCTGCAATTTATTTCTTTATATATTTCAAATATTATTAATTGAATTTCATTTATGTTTTATAATTAAAAATTATTTTAGGTTTATTAAGCAAATCATTGTCTGTTCAAAGCAACAAAAGCCTTTCTGCTTCAAGGCAAGATATTAAAAGGCATTCTGATCATTCCAAACCAGTTGCTCCGAAGCTTGATGCTGATAAAAATTTACTCAATAGAGTTAAAAGTAAAGAAGATGTATCAAGTACAACCAAAGAAAATTTGAAAAAAGCTCAAAGTACACCATCATTGCTTGACAATCCAACAATTGTAAATAGGTATGGATTTTTTTTGTTCCGATTAAATTATCTCTTAATAATAAGGGTAAATTTTTCCAGATTTATGGAAATTAAAGTATTGGTAGTCTTAAAATTAGGATTTATAATTAATGATTTTATTAACTTTAATGTTCTAGTATTTAAAAAGCAAAATAACTTAAAGATTCAGTACCTTCAAAAGTAGGGAGTTTTCTTAAACAATAAAGGGCAGGATTTTAGCTATAGATTGTTTTTTTATTTTTAATTTATTTAACCAAATTAAACCTTGTTCTATTTAATGACTAAGCAGAATAAGCAATGTTCTGTACTTACCCTCAATCCTTGTGTGCTTTCGAAAGAAATTTTTTAGATCACTGAAAATCTATAGAAATTTTTAATTTCTTGGAAGAGTCAGAAAAATTTTAGATTCCTGAGGAAAAACAATTATTCTTAATGGATATATATAAGATTGAAAAAAAAGTAAAAGTTTATTTCATTCTTTTGTTCAATTACTTTTGTCCACACTAATTTTTCTTAATATGTGATAAAAAGAACATTTAATCATAATTGTAATGTTAGAAATTTCTTCAGTAAAAAGTAGTCTACTGTAAATTTGTAAATGTATATGGTAAAAATAATCTGAAGCTTCTTTTTAGTGTTCATTAAATTGTTTTCTTAATTTATTTTGATCGATATGTTTTTGATAGATGCCTTGTTGCATCTTTTTTCAATGTAAGTTGTCTATTTATTGATTATTCTTTTTTAATGAAAGCGTCAAAAGAAAGTAATATGGAATATATTCTTTAAGTGAAAATTTTTATGATTGATTATAATATTAAAAATATTGTTAAAATAAAATTTAAGATAAATAAGAGTCAGATAAATTTTATCTAGTTCTTTGCCAAAATTGAGAAGCTTAGAACTATCACTTCTAAGCTCTTCTATTTAAATTGTGATTTTTATAAATGTCTCTTCTTAAACTACCCAATTCCATTAACATTAGCACTTTGATTAAGCACATGTTAGTGACTATTAAAAAGTTTAAATGTTACATTTATTATTTTAAAAAATTATGAATTGCTTCTTTAACTCTACCCTAGGTGAATGCTTTGTATCAATTGGATAAACACAGATTAATGTTATTAGTGTCTTTACCAATTAGATAACACAAATTCATTTATTATATATAAATATATGTGTTGAATTTTTAGGAAACCATTAGCTCCAGAGCCACCTAAGGATAAATTTAGAAATAGGCCAATTAGTTGTCTTGAAATTCAATCATCGACGGAGGCTGCGATTCCAGAAAGCAAAGTTATTGTTATATCAAGTGAGTACTTTTAAACATTATTTCTTGTAACACTTATATTAAAAATAGTTATTATTATTGCAGGTTACATGTGATTTATGGGAACTGTTTTCTGTCAATTATTTAATAAGACTGAGTTGCTTAACTTTGTATTTCATACAGTTAAATCCAGAAAACATTGATTATAGTTATCTTTTTTAATGATGTACTGATGCCTTTCTGATTAAGACTTTCGAAGTATCTCTGATAATTACCTTTATTGAATTTGGCTAAAATTTTTTTTTAATTTAGTTAATATCTCACTGATTTATATTTTGGGTGCAAAATAAATATATCTACTTTTGTTGCAATTTATAGATGTGTCATTTTAGGAGAAATTGTTAATGTACCTTTAAAATATGTTATGGACCCTTTATAAAATTTTTTATCTTGAAAAAGAACTCTTCATAGAGTAGTTTATCGTTAAAATTGACCCTTTGCAAAACTTTTATTACAAAAGCTGTTATTTAAATTAAAAAACTCTTTTATAGCATCATTAATTCTTAATTTTTAAACAAAAACTCCTTGAAAAACATGTTTTTTGTGTATTTTTTCCTAAAAAAATTTTGGATTTTAACTTATTTACAAAATTATGAATAGATTTTTCACAAATAAAGACCTTTCTAGATTACAGACCTTTCACAAAAAATTTGAATTAGCTACTGGTTTGTGTAATTAAAAAAGAAAAAATCGGGTCTGTGTTTTAAAAAAATCACAAAATTATGAGTAGAGTTTTCCTGCTTCATGGAAAAAGACCTTTCACAAAAATTTTGGAATATCTCTTTCTTAATTAAACATAAAAATAAATACATGTGTGTGCATCATGTTAAAAAATGAGAACTAAATTCTTAAATTTTCACTGGTGTTTTTGTAGATTGTGCAAATGAAAAAACAAGTTCTTCAACTGATGATGAAACGCTTCCTTCCCCTGGTGTTTGGAAGGAAGTTCGAGAAGAAGTTGATGCTTCATCTCGCAATGTTTCTTCTAATTGGTAAGATTTATTCAGTTATGAGAGGATTTCTTTTTTGTGTATGTGATAAAAAAGACACCCGGTGGCTAACCTGTAGCACCTGGCCCTTCCAAGCCACAAGCCCTAGGTTCTATTCTGGGATGGGGCCTTGTCTTTGCCAGCTTTTCACCCTTTCTCTTAGTCTATAAAATGAGTACTAAGTTTGCTTGGTTACTAAATACGCATTTGACTGGCCACGAAACTGGGACATCTGCTCCTGAACCCAAGGTCAAGGAAGAGAGGAGGACCCAAGGGGAGTTGCCTCGAAAGAATGAGTTGATAGTTGAAGAGGGGATTTCTGTACTGATAATGGTTTCCTTGTTTCAGCTGGTCTTCTCTAAGTTGCATGTTGTATTGATTTTAGCGTGTTGTAAATCTTATATAAGATCGTCAAAAATCACTTTACTTTATGATCTGGGAGATATAGATTGTACATTTCTTTTTAATAATTCGCATTCGTATATTCTATATTAATTTCTAATATTGATTTGTAAAAAAGAAATGTTGCATATTTAAACAATGGTGACTTTGTTAATTGGTATTATCTTGGATGAGGATAAAGAATCTTAGTTTTAGAATTTAAAAATTTTTTCTTAAAAAAGCTTAAGTAATATCTACTTAAAGTTATTTAAAATTTGTTTTATTTTGCGAAGTGGTGATGAAAAGCAAATTTACATTTTGTTCTACTGCGTTAAACTTGAAACCGTGACTAACACACAATACTATGTATATATATAGCTGTGTGTGTATATATTTATTTATATTTTTGTTGCACCAATAGTTTTTAAGCTTTTGGTGTGGTAATGTTTTTTAAACACTATTGATAAGCAATAGTCTTGTTTTGTTAAATGCATAACAAGAAATGTTTTTACAATATCAATCAGTTATAAAAATTTATTTTCATTAAATTATAAGGAACTAAAATTTTTTTCCGATCTGAAAGTACTCCAAATATATTTTTTCAAAGATCCATGTAGTGAATAACAATATATGGGATAAATATTTAGTTGAATCATAAAAGTGTAGTAGGTTGTTCAATTTGTATGCACTAGAAATGTAATTTGCTATAAATTATATTGATAAACAGCATTTTGGCTAAATCAGTTTTTTCAGATTTAATAATGGTAAAGGTATCTCTTTTTACATTGAGATCTTTACAACTTTTCTTGTGGATAATTTCATTTGCACTAAGTTTTAAGAGTATATATGTTTTGTAATTAAAGATGCAAAAGAAACTGAAGTATAGGTAAAAAATTTATATTATGTTTAATTAGAATAAATTAAATTCTATTTCTAATTAAATATACTAAAGTGCATTCTCTAAACTTGTATTTAGAAAATAGTTGTTGGTCCTGGGTGAACCCAGTAGGCCTTGGGCTGTCGCCCCACTGAGTTTAGTATATGATAATAAATTAAATTTTTAAAATTCTTCATTAAACCTAAACATATCTTTGAAAAACCTAAAAATATTTTTTTTTCTTTTGTGAAAACTAATTCTTTTAATAACTAAAACATTTTTTCACTATGAATTAAACTTTGTACAGTTTTTCATAAAAAAAAAAATAAAAAAATGCACAGTTTTTCTGTCATTTTATTTTGTTAATACTTTTTTTTCATAGATGTTGTTAACACATGTTGTTTTTTATCTTTTCATTTTTATACATTTTTTCAAAACATTGTAAAAACTGTAAAAGTGTAATCCATCTTAGTAATATTAATTAGCAGGATGTTACTAGTCATCATTATTCAAATTTTACTTAACTTTAAAAAATCTTTTCCGTTTTAAATAGTTTTAATTATATAATCATTAGTTTCCTTTTGCTTACGGCTGTTTCAACATGTGAACCACACATAATGAAAACATGGTACAACATAAGCAAAGGGTTAAACATTTCTAATTCTTAAATCAGTAGCATTTTAAAGAGTTTTAAAATGTTGTCCCATTTTCTTGCATTTTATTTTGTTCAATCTCATTTTACAAAAAAATTTCTTTTCAGCTTTTGTCTTTTAAAATTTTCAGGAAAAATAGTGGTTCTGATATTACTAGTTCTATGATTTAAAAAAAAAAAACAAATCATTTTACGGTTTAATTGTGCAGTTTATTTATATAATAAGTTTTTTTTTTTTTTTTTAGCAAGGTGTTGGAAGATCGGAGTTTTTTTTGTTGGTATTTTTCATTTAAAAGGAACCGTTCTAAAATCCAATAAAAAGACACCCATAATTAAATTCCCCCGTTTTTTTCAGTACCAATTCTTTTTTTCTTTAAAATGAATTAGCTGTTTTTATACTACACATTCTATAATTGAATTGTATAGTGAACTTTTAAGTGTATTTATGAATCAAATAACTTTTATAGGTCTGTGAACACTCTACCGAAAACTCTAACTCCTGATAGTCCAGAAGTTACCATATCATCCAGTCATAGTATTGTAGAAGAATGTAGTCGGACAAAAAGTAACAATTCCCTTTCTTCTTTGGATTCCAGTCATATATCAATTGTTACTATCGGTGATATTGAAGAAGTCAAAGACTCTTCGGTTTGTGTCGAAGGGACAACTACTACCTCAACTGATGTAGACTCTTTACCTACTGAAAACGAGGAAGTTGTTGTCCTCCAAACCCCTTCCACGCATACTCTGTCCAAATCAGATATTGTAGTCGTTAGGACAGATTGGACTAAGGACAGTAGACCTGTTATTCAAATGAGTGATAATAAAACTCTAACAAAACCTTTTGTGACAGATTCTCCTACACGTAGATCTGTTTCTAGTCAAGAAAACATTAAGTCTTTTCCTAGTGATTACTCCCTAAGGAGCAATTCCCCCGAAGAAAAGCCCAAAATTAGAGTTAGTGTAAATCTTAAAAAAGATCCAGCTTATCCTTCTCCTCCGCATTCCCCTGCACCCTCCCGGCCTGCCTCTTCTCCTAATTTCCCAGTATCTTCTGACGATTGCAAATTACCCTCTGAGAATGGAAAAGGTCCAATTGGAAAGAAAGTTACCAGTGATTCTGAAAGTGTTTCAACATTAGATAGTGTTGGAAGTAGTGATAAAGAAAATAGAAGTCACGAAGAAGAAAATCAAGCGACATTAAGGAAGAAAAAGGTATACTTATGTTTTTCATAATTTTGACTATTTAAAAGGTGCTTTCTTTGTTTCTAATCAGCAATGGTACAAAGTATGTTAATTGTAAGTATCAGTACTCTAAGATAACTCATTAACATTGCTCTGAATTCTACTGGATTTCGCCAGTTTCTCTCTTCACTTAAAATTATGGAAGTATCTGAAAAAAATCCCTATTGTAGATTTTTTGCTGTACATATCTGTTAAATTGCTATTGAAATGAAACCAAATTTAAAGAGCCTGGTGAAGAACATGGAATATAGAATATTATTTTATTCTTTTAAAAGTATTTTTTGGGTGTAAAAATTTTTAAGTTAGTAAGTAAATTTTTCAGAAAAAAATGTTTTCTAATTGAAAAAAAAAGTAATGAAATGAAAATTTTTTAGTTAATAAAACAGTTTCTCACTAAAATAAATAAATAGTTTTTTAATTTATATATTTGTAATAAAAAAAATCAACACATTTTTCAACATTAAGAAATAAAAATTGATTTAAACTGAGTAGAACCGGCATTCTTTCATCTATGAGTCAGCCACTAATTCTCAGTCTAGTTGTCATTTTTTAACTCTTAAAATTAAAGGAGCTAAAACTTTTAACAGTTTTGACGAATTTTTACCCCACCCTTTGTTTTTTTGGCCATTCTTTTTAATGTAGGTTTGGTTCGATTTAGCAGAAATTCCCTTCTCAGTATACTGCTTGTTTAAATATTTAAATAAGTGTACACTGCTTTTCAATGAAATCTCATTTATAATAATCAATTTAAAGCTTTACTCTTTTAAATATTCCGAAGTTTTCAATTTTTCTTATTCAAAACTCTCAATTTTTAAAATTTAAGAATATTTATATCTTTAAGAAATGAATTTAAAAACTATTACTGTTCAAAAATATAATAAAATAATTTTTCATTCATGCCCATTTAATGTCGTTATAAATGGAAAATATTGCAGTCGTTTTTTATTCATAGTTATTAGTGTAAAATAGTTTTAATTATTTATCCACCAAAATTCTCTGTCTTAAAATATTTCTATCTAATAGTTAGCATGAAATTCTTATTTCACAAAACCTTCTTGATTTTATCCTTGTTTTACATTAAGTCAAAGAAGATATTCAAAGGAGAATTTAAGAATTGTAAATAAATATACAAAGCTAAATATTGCTAATTAGAACTTTTTTTTGGATGTATGGGAAGTATTGAGGTTTACTTTAATTGCTTTTAAATTTTATTTTTAAGTTTAATTTATTAGCATATATATTTTTATTACAAATTTTTATTTTTATGTTTATCTGTTTCAAAAATTCTATTTTGTAGAAATGCTATTTTCTGGTAAAGAAGAGTTACCAGTTTATAGTCTATTTTTATAAATTGTTTATTTGAAATAGTGAATGCAAAATAATAGCAATGGGAAATATGCATTGAAGCAGCACAAAATGGTTATTGCAAGTAAAAAAAAAAGAAGCCTCAAAGCAAGTTTACTTTTTAAGTAAAAGTAATGAGTTTACAAGTTAATTAGCTTTTCTCCTGTACCTTTGAACATTTCATTTTAATTATATAATCATATATGGAATAGGTAGGAATATCTAGCAATAACTATTAAGTAAACTTAGAATTGCCGAGACATTTGAAGCCTATGGTGTTATGTATGGGAATTTCAACTTCGGAGCGTTAACTTGCTTGTTCAACCCATTAAGTAATTTTAGCGAGTCAAATTTATTTGAGTCAATAGTGTTCCCAAGTGAATTGATTGATAGTGCGGCATTTTAATTGTAAAAAATACCCTTTTAATGAGTGCTTTAGAAAAGATTGTATTATTTATATCAAGTATGCGCAGCTTTTTTTGAATAGCAAGGCACAAAATTTAGAAAATACCATGTTGGATGCAAACACATATGTAATGTAGTCTTTAAAAAATTGGGAGGTTTGATAGTAATGTATATATAACACATCCATATCATTTTACTTCAGTGAAGAAACAAAAAATAATCTAAAATAAATTTAAATAAATATAGGCAGGGGTTTGTCCGGACCAAATTTACTACAGTTTAGCTGTACTTTCACAATTTCAACTTTAGGAAAAACAGTAGTTTCAGAAAATACTTTTCCTTAAAATTTTATATTTGTATCTCGTAAGAAACGATAAATCCATATTTTTACCACATTTTTGTGTTGATTTTTTGTTATAATTTTTAATTTTCACAAATTACGTCTAAATTTTCACTAAGGTATCTCTCAGAAAGACCTAGACAGACCCCTGATAGGTACTTTCAAAGCATTCTCTTAAGCGAACATTTGACTGTTATTATTTAGAAGGCAAATTTTTTAACTAATAAGATTGGGCTCTGGAAATGTTCTTCCCCTGTATTGTTTGCATTAACTTCTTAAGAAATAACATTTTACAACAAACGCTTAGCTCATGGTTAAGAACAAAATGAAGTAGTTGCAAATAAGTAGTTCAGAGAAAAGGTAAACTTGATTACTAATTTACTGTTTAAGAGTGTGGTTGGTCACAACCAAGTTTAGGCTTCTTAGTTACTTATTTTTGATGTTAAAAATTTAAATAATTTTTCAAAATTACAATATCGTGAAATTTTTAAATTTATGAATTTCTTTTTTAAATTATAAGTCTCTTAAAAGTCATTAATGTTCCCAATTTTCTATGATCTTCATATTTTATAGTCTTCAATACCAAGACAAAACATAAACGAAAAAGTTGTGTGACCAGTCATTTCTTTGTTGTGAGAATTTATTAGTACTGGAATTAGATTTGAGACAAAGCTGATTACTTAAGTTTGAATAAATTTTGCTTCTTTAACTATTTTCCTTCACCCAAAACTTTTTATGCTTTAATGAAGTTGAAATAATCAAATGTTTTTATGATTGTTTGCTGAAATGTTTACCAATGTACTGAAAAAAATATTTCTATCTAGGAATATTCTAGTAATTCCAATCATCAGACAAATCGTAAAATCAATGGAGTCGCTGGGAAACAAAAACCCTCTAGGCCAAAAACATTGAAAAAGACTAGAAAATTTATGGTGGATGGGGTTGTGGTTACTACGACAACGAGTAAAATCATTTATGAGGATGATGAACAAACGATAAAAGAAGACCATATTCTCAGGTATTTAAAGCAGTATTGTTTATTAATGTTTAATAAAATACTATGTTTTATAGCTTGTCTTTAAAATTGTGTGCAGATTGCTTTATCTAAAGTGAATGTGCTGCTTTTTCATGCTTTCATAGGATTAACCCCGCTCTTGTACCGGAAAACTGGGAAATAAGAATATGGTTATATATTTTCTATTCTCTTTGTAACTTGCATGCTGTGAGTTAATTTGCTATTAATCAATTACTTTATCACAAACAAGAATGCAAGGAAATTTTATGCATGATCACTTCTTGTTCCTGTTAACCAATCTTTATATCTGTGCTTAAAAGATTGTTGAATGATAACTTCCATTAAAAAGTTTTGTCCCTGGCATTTCTATTCTATATTCTGTTGCAAGTTTTAGAACAAAAAAAAAATGTCAAAATTAGTAACTAGTTAATATAAATCTCAAAAATCTTGAAAATTTTCACTGCTAGTTCTTATATTTATGAAATTGTTTATCTTTAGTGTGAAACTGAAAAAATTTAGAATGTGAAAAAATTTAAACTAAGCAAGAACTTGTTTAATTATTAACAAATATTATTTTTCAGTTCTACTTCTTTTACAGCTTATCAATCAACTTAAACAAGTTTTTAAGTCATCCACTTAATTTTAAGTTTTTCTAATCAAAGGGGTCTCCAAACTGTCTCATTTCATCTTTTGTGTAACTTTTTAACTGTTGTATGTTACAAAATACAGTTTTTAATAAAGTCAGCTAGTAATAATTTTGTGTTTGTCTTTGCATAAATTAATAATGAAATATAACATTGATCTAAATTGAATAATTAAATGATCTTTGTTAAATAACTTATAACACTTCTCTGCTCCTCTTCTCTACTTTCTTTTCTACTTCAACACCCATAATCTAAATTGCAACAGAACATAGATACTTGCAATATTTTTTAACTGTTTTTTAATACAGCATAAGTTTTTTTTCAATTGTTATATTACATAGTTTAATCTAGAGAAAAATGTTTTTAAAAATTAAGCATGTCTTTTTTTTAAAAAAAAAATAGTGTTTCACTTTTTACAGTTTTGTATTTGGTTATGCTTTGGTGTAAACATGTTGTGTTATATTGTGCATCAGGAAATATGTATTTAGCATTTCTTGGTTTTACTTTAAAAGATTGTTAATAATTGATCTGTTAAACATAAAACTGAAATTTATGCCATTTAAAAAAACAAATAATCAAAATTAATTACGATTAAAATTAATGTTCATTACATATTTTTTTTTAGAAAATTGAAATACATATACATTTGTTTTTCATTTATTTTAGGAAGCAAGAGCTTAGAGAACTAAAAATGCTACAAAAGCAAGAGACTAAGCAATTCCAAGATTTAGCTCTAAAGGCCCAATTCAATAGAGAGCAGCAGGAAAAGAAATTTGATCAAGAAATGATGGTACACATTTAAGAATTTTTTATTTCTTTCTAATTGTTTTGCTCAATTTTATTCAATTGCTTTCTAATATATTAATTTTGTCTCTTCTCCCTATTTACAAACTTTTCAACAAAAAAAAATTTTTTTTTATCACCCTTCACATTTTCAAACTTCTTGAGAAAGGAAATTTTTTCCTTTCAACTTATTTAATTCTTTCAATATTTGTTTTTCTGTTTTATCAGGGTTCATGTTGTCCTAAAAAAGTGCTCATTATTTTTTATTTCATCGTTTCGTAAATTTTTTTGAGCGATTGGTTTCGCGCCATTTTCGGATTGTTGCTAATCCTGTAGAGCAGTGTTCCTTAACCTTTTTGATATAATGGACCTCTTTTAAAAATTTTTAAGAAGTCACGGACCACCCCCCTGTGAAAAAAATAATTGCAAAAAACGTCAATTATTAGAAAACATTTAATTTTATTAGAAATCCCTATTTTAATAGTACACAAAATTTTTAAAATTTTTAATGTGAAGGTTGCTGCTGCTTTTCCTTACTTAACAAATTGAATTGGGGGATGGTTTTCAACAAAGCAAGCGGGCATATCATGTTCAACATTCAATCGATTTCGATGTTATGTTTTTATTGTCACAATTGTGGAAAATCCCGCTTCGCGAATATACACTGTAGCAAATGGAATTATAGCTGCCATAACTCGCTTTACAAGCAATGGGTAGGCTTCCAAACGTTTTAAAAATCAGGAGTAGTCAGCGGACCCCCAAAATATAACTCATGGTTCATGAACCACAGGTTAAGAAACCCTGCTGTAGAAGATGTGACGTTGCATTCAATTCTTGTGGAAGGGATTGAGAAACCGGGTAAAATCTGCATGGGGAATGGAATGCAATTCTTTATCGTCCACGGCTAAGGTCGAAGGTCATCCGTGTAGTCAATTGTCGTTCCGTGTAGTTTGATTCATCGTAACTCCTCTTATTAATATCGGCCTTCTCTGTATTTATTTGCCATTATTTATTAATATTTTTTTTTACATTTGCTTTGTAAATAATGGGGAAATGTGTTTTTAACACATTATGGACGAAAAATTCAAAGACTGGCTTTGTTCTTCAGACAATCCTCACAAGATTAATTATGTTATTTTTACTTTACATCAAATGCTAATTATTTTTTTTTAATCTTGAAAAAGTGCTGAAAAAGTCCTAATTTTTTTTGTTGAAATAATTTAGCAAGAACCCTGGTTATTAATATTCTGATTAATGTAATGGCCACTGCTTACATCCAAAAGAAAATTTTTTTTAAGTAACTTATATTGTTTAATTGAAATTCAAACAATTATATTGCACTGTCAACGAGAAAAATAAATAAAATATGCATCATTTTCGAATGTTGAACTGTTGTCTAGGGAACCTAGTGCTAAGTGAAACCTATCTTTAAGTGAATATGGATAAATTTATTTTGTAAGTTGGCAAATATTTGTGGGTAAAATAACAAACTGAAATAGTTGCTTAAATAATAGTTCACACTGTGGACTATGAATTGCTTTTAATTTTAGTTACTTATTTAATACTGTCTATGATGCTCAGTTAAAAATTTAAATATTTTTTTAAAATTTTAAAATCATAAAAATTTTCAATTCATGAAAACTGAATGATTTCCACTTTAAATTATTAGTCTCTTAAAAGCCATAAATGTTCCGGATTTCCTATTTACTTCATATTACCCTTTTAGCAGTCTTCAATACCCTTTAAGGGAAACCATATACTATGCAGTGTCATTTCTCATTATTAAAACTTGTCTTTCTCATATGAAGATTATAGTTAATGTTCACAAAATGTTCAGTTCACAAAATAAACAATTGGATAACTTTTGATCTAGTGATTGGATTATTAACATACTGAGATCTCTATGGTTCATAAGTCTAATCTTTAACTGTGCCGATTTATTTATGCGGAAAATATTTTAGATTGCAAAATCAAAAGCAGACGATGATGAAAACTGCCTGATTCAGATTTTTGAATCTCAAAACATGATGGTTGATGCAATCTGGGAAAAATGGTAACAATAACTTAGTCAAGAATGTGTAAATATATGTAAATTTATATAAATTTCCGTTGTATGTAAATTTCTCTTTTTTTTTAATGTTTTGCCATATACCAAAAACTTCTAAACAAACTGAAGATTTTTTGCAGATAAACAATAATTCATCTAAAAATAATTTGACTCAAACTAAAGTTTTTTAAAATTTCTTTATTATAATAATCAAAAAATTCTTGTGTTTTGAGGTGTACAAATTGTAATCTGAAATTAATGACTAAATCCAGATTTTGAGCAAAATTGGTTGAATAATTTCTGAACACTATTATTTCAAGGAAAAAAGAAAATACTATAACAGCTTTTAAATTGTATTTAAAATAAACGTATTTATGAGCTTGATGATTGAAGATTTATTTTTCTTTTGTTTGTGTTTACTTTAATTAATCAACTGCATTGTTAGTCTTATTATAATTGATTCTCATAAATCACAGATTATTTTTCTATCATTAAAAAGGTTTTCTAGAAAGACAAATATCTTTTTTTTTTTTTAAATTTTAGATTCTTGTAAAAAATTATGATAATGATCTAGAAGCTTTGAATCGGCAGCAAAAGCAATTAGTTGAAAAAGCAGAGCAGCAACAAGACTTGGATTTAAAGTTTGCTTCCAAGAAAATTCGGTCAGATCAGGTGAGCTTATCAATTTAAAATTTTATTACAAATTTTATGATTGTTCCCTGGTACTATTGTGTAATTTTCACCACAAATGGAAAAATTATTACATTTTTTTAAGTAAGAAACAATTTGCAAGATTGACAATTGATTAGATTTAGAGATGGCATTTTCTATCAAGGGTATGCATACATATTAAAAACACCACAGAAGCCTTTTTTTATGAAAAAGACAGCTGAATTTAACATTTCTATTTTTTTTTCTTCCCTTTTATGTTTCACTCAGTACTTATTGATTGTAATAATAATGTCAGTTTAAAAATTGAACTGAAAATCACTGTTAACCCTTTCGCAACGACTGTCACATATACGTGCCAGCAAGAAACGAGCTCATTTCCCGGCCGACACACCCGCGTACCAGAGCATTTTCTCGTTCACCCCCCACCATCACTTATTTGTGCCAGCGTTTCGGAGCATTTAAAAAAATAAAATTTCTTCCAGAAGATGGCATTGTATGTCCATATGGTTTCAGATACATGTAGGTTTGACCGTCTACTCAAGATGAGAGTACTTTCACATGGTTTTTAGGGGGAAGGAATGTTTTATGATGGCTCTTTAAATTCGCACGTGGTATTTGTTCACAATAAGCAGGGGAGTTTTTTTTCGCTACTTTCGATTTTCAGTTTAGTTTTTAGTGGATAGTTAGATCTTGTAGATCCCTGTTTTAAAATTTTTCATACGAAAAAAGAACTTTAAGTCATATATTTAGTTTTCAGATTTGTTAAATGTTATCAAATGATAAGTACATATATATATAAAATGTGTAAAATATATATTTGAACAAGAAGTAACTTAAGTAAATAAAGTATCCATAGAAATATATGTAAAGCATGTGTCATTTAAATATTCTACAGAACAGCATTAAACAACACATTGATATTTCGGTAATTTCATAGACCCTGGAGAGACTCATGCGAGAGAGACTACCGGCCTCAGCAGAAAGCGCGCTTCCACACTTCCCGTCGCGAAAGGGTTAAGGAAGGAGGGGAAAAAAATAAATAAAAAAGGAAGTGAAAGAAAAGATACAGGGAAAGTAATATTTACTATTTTATGGGGACATTTTAAATGGTGCTAATAGTTTTTTCAATAGTCCTGTTGTAAATGATCTGAAGAAATTTTCACTAAAGGTAAAAAATAATTTTTTAAACATATTTGTGGGCACAGTTGATATTATTTCCTTTTTTTAACATGTTATGTTTTCGCAAAAGGCAAATTTGAAATTTGAAAAATACATTCAGACACCGCTTTATTGAACCTTCTGTAAACGATGGTTTACTTACAATACCCAAATTCTTTGACAAATTTTTTTTATGTATATTGTTATAGTAATTTTGAAGAGGATGCATACTTTGCATTATAAATTGTTAACTAAAAATGTAAATTCTTTTTACAACAGAGCTTCCTTACTGTGAATATCTTTCTGAAATGGAAATTTTCATCAGGTAACATTCAAAATAGTATCCATGAAATAAAGTGGTTATCTTGCCATTGAAAGTTTTTTGCCTTGGAATTTCAGTGTAACTAATCACTTCCCCATTTTGACTTGTTTTGTATCCATTCCAGCAAAATGACTCATTTTTAACACTCTTCTAGAGTATGCAATACTGCATAAGTCATAATTATATACTTTTAAACATATCTCATTAATAAAAAAGTGTTACGATAATTCTTAAAAATTTTTTTATATGCCTGCAGAAAGAAAATTTGAATCTGCTGTGTATGAGCTGCCAATTCCTTAACTGATCACTATAAGTGCCTGGAATAAAATTAATTAAACAGCAGTTTGGATGGGACCACCAGATATGTTCACTATGTAGATTTAAAATGAAGATTTTGCTTACCCTTAAAATTTTACCAGCTTTGCCGTAATTTTAACTTGCAATAAAAGACATATACAATACTTTCCAGTTATAAATGTTTGTATTAAAATAAGATACCTGTTTTATTTTTGATTTTTTTTTTTTTGTAAAATGATTACTTGATTATATAGTATAATGATTTTATTTTATTTAAATAGGAACGTGAGCTCAAAAACTTCCGAGAAAGTTTAAAAAATGAATTCAAGTTTTTAAAGCAAGAAATTGAAGCTCTCCCAAAAGATAAAAGAAAAGATGTATTAAGAGTAAGACGAGAACAAATGGAATTGGATCATGTAGAAAGAGTAAGTTTTTTTTTTTCCTTCTGCATTTTTACTTTTCTTTTTTAAATTTGGGTGTTTCCTTACTAACTAGTTTTTGCTAACTCTAAAAATCTTTTTTGTCTGGTTTGCTACCAAGCTGCACTTATTTGAAATGTATAAAAACTATTTTAATGTCATTGGAAAATCAATACTTTTCTTGGGCTAATATTTATTTTCGGGGAGAGTGATTAAATCTGTGTTGCTATGTCCCTTACAGTTATGGTTTCTATATAGTAATAAATGTATTAATTGAATGAAACACATATTTCAGTGTACAACAGTTAATTGAAAATATTAAAATATTTCTATGGGTGTGAGTTGGGTAAATAACCAGTGGTTAGGGTATTTACAAATGGGTAATTACCCTAGCTTGGGATAAATACCCATAGTCAGGGTTTTTATATTCCTTTTAAATCATATAACTGTGATTTGTTTTGCTTATAGTTCTGAGAATAATATAAATATCTTTAATTTCCAAAAATTAACTTTAAACTTACATATTAGTTCCAGAAAAAGTATTTCAAAAAACTATAAATACCTAGTAAAGGAGCTACCTTTTTGCATTAAAAAAGTAATGTAAAATAATGTAATATTGATTTTGTTATTTTTAGATACTTTTTAATTCTTCAAAAACATTTCTTTTTTGGATAAGTAAAATTTTGTTGTGATTTTCCATTTGAAGTTTAACTTATAGAAATGTATTTACTTTTTCAGGAACGGGTATTTATTGAACGTTTGAATGAAAATCATGATTTGGCTGTAAAAAGGTTAGGTGATACACATAAAGAAAAGATTGCATTGCTGGAAAGGCAGTTTCTTCAACAAAAGCAACAGCTTTTACGAGGTGAGATGATTTACGCCTTTACTTGTTTTAATTTTCTGTAACAGATTTTTGAAAACAGTAAGATGTTAATTACAACAAGGATAAAGATTCTCTTCCTAGCTTTTCGAATTGGTTTAATTGAGCATTGTAATGTTTCCTCTTTGTAGTGAACAACTTTTTCTTAGTAAGGTTCTTAATGCAGCAGTGAAATTTAATAGTTAATGTCATTTATATATGATGGGATGAGGTAGGTACTGACTGCTATGGGAGTACAACCAAACAATTAATTTAAAGTAATTTTTTTATTACCATTCATTACTAGTGGTTTTAGAAATCTGAGAAATTATAGGAAAAATTTTAGTGAACGTCTCTCAATTATTGTTCTCTCATTTGGTGGTTTTTATATTTTAGAATTTTCGAAAACTAAGTGTTAAAATATTTTATAAATTATCTTTATAGGAGTACAAGAGGTTTCCCATAAAGGTTATTTCAGCAAATAGAAAAAAAAATGGTCATAATATATTTGCAAAACTTTTTTTTTACTTCAAAATGTGTTTAAATTTGCTTAGTAATATGGATTAAAGACTGTCTCATTTAATTTATAAAAAATTCTTATTTCCTTTAGCTCGAGAGGCTGCTATATGGGAATTAGAAGAGCGCCATCTGCATGAGAAACATCAGTTAGCAAAACGGCAATTAAAAGATTTATTTTTCTTGCAAAGGCATCAAATGTTAGTACGACATGAGAAGGTGAGAGATGCATTTTCAGCCTTGTTTCAAATGTGTATTGCAAAGCTATAATATAATATTAAGGCTCCTGTGTCTTGAAAAAAAAATGCTTTGTTTAAATAGTGAAAAGTTGAGATAAGACTATTTCAACTTAATTGCCAAAATAAAAGCTTATTAAGTTTTATAACTGATGATATTAATTTATTGTTTTAGAAAAGTAAAAAGTTTTCATACAAGAAAAATTAATTTGGTATCCAGGAAGAGGGAATTTTGCACAATCTATAAGAATCGGGAAAATGTCACAAAATTAATGAAAATACCTTAAGAATCATAGTAAAAGTATTAATTAGAATTTGATCTAAGAAGTTCAATTTATTTTTTAAAATCATTAGTACAAATTCAGTAGTATTTTCAGATGCTCGATTTTGGTTAATTTCTATCAATTAATAAGATATCTACTGAAAGTATTTTTAGCTTTATTTTCACCTGGAAAGTCATTGAAAATTATGATTTTCAGGGATAAGTATTTTAAGGGATAAAATTCATGGAAATTCCCTTTTCATTATGTTTTGTTATTGGAGCCCTTTATAATGTCACACGATTTTAAAATCCTTCATTGTAATTTGCATTCACATGCGGCGTTCTATGTTATTTGCCTCCTGATTTTGTATTTAGTTCTATTAAAATTATATTTGTTATATTGAAGCAAAAAATATTATCTAATAAATATATAAAATTTAAGTAAAACCTAATTTTAAGAATGAATTTATATTGAAACTGATATTTTTGTTTAATCTTTGAAATGATTTCAATTTTTGATCAATATATATANACATAACTATATATATATATATATATTTAGTTTTTGTTTCTTTGAAATTAAATTAACATAATCCCTGGAATTGACCTTAAAAGGCATTAAATATTTTTAAATCCATGTTCTAACTTGTATGTTTGTTACTGTTAATTGCTATTTTTTTCTTCCAGTTTAATAGTTTAGTCCTTTTTTATTGTTTGTGTTTAGTTTGTCTTATTAAAAAGTGTGCGAAGTATTGCTCAGATAAAACAGTACAGTTTTTAAGAAAGAGAGTTCTACTCATTTCGACTTTATGGAATAATCAGGCGTCTGTCCAGGGTAAATTTACTTCAGTTTGGCAGTACCTTTACAAATTTAATTTTAGGAAAAACGGTAGTTTCACAAAATACATTTAGAAAAAGCAAGTTCTCATGCAAACCCTGTTTTCATTGGAATCTATGAACAAGAACTTTTCTGACAGCTGTCTTTTTAGAAAAGGTCAGATAGTGCAATGTGTTAAGCCTAAATGGTCGCTTACAAAGCGGTTTTTTTTTTCGCTGAGTTTTTTAAAATGAAACAACAAGCCCTCTATAAACTTTACAGGTAGTCAAAATTCGAACATTATTTTAAACATCCGAACATTATCTTGAACACTATTGTAAATTAATTTTATCAGACCTTTATTTTTTATGAAGCATTTTTTTTTCTTTGTGAAACTTTTTTTTGTATGACCTAGTTGAAAATGTTCTTATAATGAAAATAACTTTTAGTGCTAATACTGCTAAATGCATGTTTTTATTAAATTCAAGTTGAAATTTAACTATATACAATGATTTTTATGGATTTTTAAATTTGGGTACAATTTTAAGCCTAAGATTATGCACTAGCAAAATTATTTTTGAATATATGGGGAAAAATATAGAGAAATTTGACAGTCATAAATAATTTTTATTTGTAATAACAATTTTTGAAAATATTTTCTTACTTTAGCATATTTTGTGTTGATTTTTTAATAAAATTTTTAAATTTCACGAAATAGATAACTCTAAAAAAAACTTAGATAGACCTGTGCTAATAATGTATTTACCCGTGTAAGTTATAGAAAGTCATGGATTTAAAAACTCTAGATTTAGCAAATACCCTGTATTTATTATATATTTAATATACTTGTGTAAAATATTTATAAATTTTAAAATAAGGGAAGCTAAATGACTAAATCTACCTTTCGAGAAGTCAGTAAAATATTTCAGTGACAGGTGCAGGAAAAGACTAACTTGGGGGGGGGGGGGNGGGGGGGGGGGGGATACTAAGGTGTAATTTTTTTTCAATAAAATTTCTATAGTATTTATTATTACACAGTAAGGTTCCCATGCCTCTTTTTTTTTCTTTCATAATTTGCCTTATTATTTTTTTAATTCTTAATATTACTAATATTATTATTAATATTCTTCTTAAATTTGATATATTCAGGAACTGGAACAAGTTAGAAGAATGAATGATGCCAAGGAAGAAGAAGTGTTAAAGCAGCAAGCTTTAGAGAAAAGACAGTGGCCAAAAAGGATGAGATCAGAAATGAAAACGAGGGAGCTTATGTTCCGAGAGAGTTTGCGCATCAGCTATGCTAATATGTCTGAGTCTCACGAGGATGAAAGAGACAAGATTCGCAGAGTATTATTCCCTTTTATATTTTAAATCTAGTGTTGCTTGGGTTAATCTTAAAGTATTTTTCTAAATTGCACTGAATTCAAATATCACACCTGCCAACATTCCTTCTTTTTGAGAATGGGTTTTCCAAGTGGTAGTAAAACAATTACCGAAAAACTATCTTCAAAAATATATTTATATTTTAATCAGGTTCAAATTCGCTATCGTAAGGAATAATATGCTTTTATATATTTGTTGTAATTATTTATATGTAGTGGTGGTCAAATTGATTTAAAATTATTATTATAATTTAAAAAGTTTAGTGAAATAACATGAATTTCGCTAGTACTTTAAATATGAAGATAAAATCTTCCGGGAAAACCGGAAGAGTTGGCAGCTATGAAATAGGTTCTGTAACTTTTTTTTTTTAAATCTGTCTTATTAAATGCTATACATTTCAATGACAGATTTTTATCTTTTGGCTGTACTGCTTCTTATATGAATTTTTTGTACGAAAATTTTTCAGGATTTTATAGTATGAAAGAGACTTGCAGCAATTTGCTCACGATACTATGAATCCAATTATAAACCTAAAATTGTAGTGTTTAATATTCAAGTAAAATACATACATAAAAAATTATTATTTAATTACAGTGTCTTTGAAAAACCTGGTATTTCTTTGTTAAAAAATGAAGCTTGTATTAATGTCTGAAATTTAATATGAAAAGTATTAACATTTTCAATGTTTATATTCCTTTTTGCTTTTTGATAGTTATTATCCTTTATGTAGTTCTTACAAATTCTACTTTTTAAGTCTTGTGCTGGGTAACATTGAAGTCCAAAGAAAAAATATTAAGTTTTTAAGACCAAATCTCTTTTAAACATACAGTATTGTTTCAATGTTTAATTCTTTCCATTTTTTAAAAAATTTTTTTTTTAGTAGTTTAAATTTAAAACTATGTATATCAAAGTTACTGAGGTAAATATTATTTTTACAATAAATTTGTTTACCAGCTATAATTTACTATTAATTTAATTATCTTCATCTTTAATGTTCTTGTCAAAAATTATTACATGTGCATCAAAAAGAATAACATGTAATGATATTTTAAGCCATATCATATTTAATGAGTGGTATAAAAGTGTTACTTTCTCACTTTAAGTTTCAAGATGGGGAAAAACGTCGTTACAAGGCCGAACAGATACGCCAAGAATCAAAGCACAAAAAGCAGCTGGAAGAACTGAGGGCTCATGCAGATTCCACAGTAAAAGAACTGGAGCAGATGCAGGTAACACCTGCATTATATTTATTTTACCATTACAAGTTCTAATATTTGGACTTCAATCCATGTGAAGTGTGAAGCCTTAAGTTAGGATTTGGTCTTTATTATCTGTATTAACTATTAAAACATCATAAAATTGGCATTGTAGTTTTGTAACAAAGAAAAAAAATTAATAAGGAAATAAATAGTAAAATAAAATATATTAAAAAGAATTTAGAATTAATTATTTTTAATTTTATGAAGTTCATGTATTTTATATCTAAAATGACTGTTAAGCATGTCTTATGCCGTCAAATATTTTGTTTGAAATTATACTGTGAATTTTTCTAATTTGTTTTAAGGTAGTACAGTTATTTTCTAGAAAATTTCTGATGCCTTTCTACTATAAAATATTTCAATGGAAAGGTTTTAAAATGAAATTTAAATGGGAAAAAAAAACATTTTTAAAATGCCTACTGAAATCTGGATCAAAAATATAAACTTTCAAACAATTTCAGCTGTAGTTGTAAAAGTGGTACCTTGGATAAACTTTTTTGTAGTTTGTAATCCACTTTAAAATGGTACTGCTGTTTACAGAGCCATTACTGAAAAACTGTGCAGTGAGAGTTTTTATTTGAAAATTACACAGTTGTAGTACATTATTGATTTTGTGTAAGCACATTTCATAAATACTGGTTGGGAGGAACCTTCTTAAATGCACGTTTTGTCATTTCCTAAACTTTGGCGTGGCAGAATGTTCGTTAAATAAAAGAAAGAAAATCTAGTTGTTACAAGATGCTTTTATTTTTTTATATTCAAACTTCTAAGCTTTGTACGTCGATGTATTGTATGACTTTGTGTTGATTTCTTCTAAGATTGATTAATCCCGTCACAGATTGGAAGATGACTATCAAACAAACACTCATTTTAAGTATTTTTTCTTGCTGAATTTTATAAATTTTTTTTTTTTTTTTCACTGAGAAAATTAAATTATGTACACTTGTGTCTTACAATATAATGAATTTTCAGAATGAAAAAAGAAAACAGCTCATGGAACATGAGACTTTAAAGCTAAAACAGTTGGAAGAAGAACATTCAGCTGAACTTAAGGAATGGAAAGCAAATTTGAAACCTCGCAAGCAGGTAAATTAATTATATATTTATAAGAATTTTATTGTTATCATGTATTATGTCAAGTTTCTGTTGAATAATTTGTCATGGTGATATTTATGTACTTTAAACTTTTAATTTTAAATGCAAAATAGAATCAAGAGAACTTTGAACAAATTTTTCTCTGTATAAGAGTTTTTCAGTTCAACTATCCTGCATTTTTATTACATTAGTATGTTAATTACATATTTCTTAGGGGTATTGTATTCCGGGTGTTCCCTGGAATACTGGGTCTTATTGTTTCTCCGGGTCTAATAACTAGAAGCTGGGCATGAGATTTTTTCGTGAATATCGCAGAACTCTACATATCTAAAGACCATTGGTTTGCGAAATTCCTCGAATCATACAAAACTTTTCATAAATCCCAATACTGAGACATTTACATGTGTGAATCTTTTGATTTGGTGGATTTTTAAAATTTTGAATATTTGTGAAGTAGTGTCGGAATTAGCTAATATCGCGATTCTTCTTCACCCGATTTAGATGTCAAATATCGATTTTTGTATTTACCTGATTTGAAAGTTACACATTGCGACTCATATTCGTCTGATTTAAAAATTCTGCATCTCAATTTGTATTTACATGTTTTTCAAACCAAATATCTTGTTTCGTATTCGCACATTTTTAAAATTCGATATTGCGATTCGAGTTGCAATATCAAAAATTAATTTTTGTTGTATCAAATATCGAAGGTACTCATTACGATTCGTATTGACACAATCTAAAAATTATGCATTGTGATTCTTATTTACGTAATTTAAAAACTGAATATTGCAATTTGTATTCTAGTATTTAAAATCGAATATCAATTCATACTCACCCAATATAAAAACCCAATATTTAGATTTATGTAAGAAGTAAGTTTTTTCTTAAATAAGTTACAATAAAGGTGTAATTTTCTTCATTAGTAGGTAATTTAATTATAAATGCTAGTTCAAAATATTATGTAAGTCCTCTCTTGAAACCCTCTTTGACATTCGTAATGTCTTCAACATTCATCTTTAACACAATAGTTTCAGAAACAAAGAATTTATATGAAGAGTTTGGTGAAAGATTCATCTACACAACCTCCGAAACCGAAAAATTTTGTAAAAGGACCAGGTTTAAAAATGTTATTTTTTTAAAAAAAAAAAAAAAAAATGAAGAGTGTTTCCAACGAGGACTTATAAAGAATTTTTGCATCCAATTACAGATTTTTTTTATTTATTGCTAAAACACTTGATTATACAAGCACTGATTACGACACATGGAGATTACTTCAAAACATATTAAATGAGTATGTAATTCACATTATGTTTTTAGGAATTATTAGATCTGCCCTGTAAGTTAAGTGGATGCTATACCATGGAAAAAACTTTTCATTGCAAATTCTCTTCACCTCTATAAGTAATTTAAAGTTAATAATAAGTCATTTAAAAGTAAAGATTTTCGAAATATAAAAATGAAAACAAATTAGGAGATGATCATTTAGGAGACGATCATTTATGATTATTCTCTTCCAATAATTTTTTGCATTTCGATCTTTTGAAATTTCTTTTTCAGCTATTGAAACCTCTGAACTCACTTTTTCTGTTCTTTAAAGTTTAAATTAATTATGATGGAGGTGATACAGAGTTTGCGAGGAAAATTTCTTTTATAATATAGTATCCTAATAGTCATACTTTGTATACCTATTTTGTAAAAGGCATTTTTAATGTTTCATTCATTATTATTTTTGTTATACAGAGACTAGAAGAGGAATTCATCCACCAGCGTGAAGAACAAGAGCGTTTTTATGGCACTTCTGCTTATCTTCAAGACTTTTTATCCACGGGTGGAGAATCCCCCCACACTCCAGGCACGCCTGGCTCAGAAGCTTCATTCAATCGCAATTTTTGATCGCCATTGATCATTCACTGTACAGGATCAAATGTATTATTCTTGTGACTACACAAAGAAAAAAAAGCTTGCCTTTGTTTTAATGCATAGTCTATATTATTTGGGATATTAGAGCTCTGGCTATATTTAGTGTTTCCCTTTTTGCATAAAAAAATAAACCCAAGTGATATTACTAAAAAGTGAAGTGTACTACTCTACACTCTAAAGTGCGTTCGTGTACAGGAAAGAGAGAATGTGAATATCCTCATGATGTGTTTAATGTAAATTCATTGTTGTTGTTATTGTTGTATGAAGAAGTGGCGTGTCTTTGCTCAATTTCTTGGTACATGTGAAGTGAATGTTATTCTTTCAGTAGTCAAAAACAACTTTTTTTTTATATTTTGTATTATAAAATATTTGTAAAATATTTTTTATGGTTGAAATTTGGTAAATGAATTAAGTCAAATTTATTTATTTTATGTGTATTTTCGATTACCTCTTTTTATAGCAATCATTTGTTGGTTTTAGTGGCAGTATTATTCAGATATATATTTTTGCAGTTAAATTATATAATTATTTGATTTTTATGTTAAAATATGGATTCTCTGTAGGAAAAAAGTTAATATTTAATTGTAAGAGATAAAAAGTCATGCATTTAATATTATTTGTAAGTGTTCTGAAAAGTTTTAAATTTTCTTTTTCCCTATTTCTCGAATAAATTTTTTTTAAAGTTCTTCATAGAAACTTTTTGCATTGTAGATAGATTATTTTTCCATTTTGTTTTGTTGAAGAGTTGAATAGTTTAAAATAGGCTGATTAGATGAAGATGAAATATAAACTGATATGCATTATTTAACTGAGATGCGTTAAAAGTAAAATGTTATTGAAGTAAATTACTATGAAACCTCAGTTATATGTTCTATAAAAATTGCTTATTTTTGATTTTTATTTAAGTTTATGATAAAATGTTAAATATTTTTCTAGCAATGAAATAAATTTCCTCATTAAGTTTATTTTCAAGTGAATACAGTGGCTCGATATCTTCTACTTATTACACATTAACTTCTGTATAATGTCTTACATATCAACATATATTTGTAAATTATGTAAAAAATGATAAAAGATTAAACACATGCATTAAATACTGTGCCAATGAAGTTGTACTTCACAAGCATCCCAAAATTTGAATTTAGAGCCTCTTTTTCAAATGTCTGCATACAATTTATAAATTTTCTTTTAAAAGAAAATTTATAATGAATTTTCTTTCAGCTTCATTTATTTTTATTGCATTATTTGTAATAGACAGTAGGTATTGAAATGTGTCACTAAATTAATGTCAAATTTTTAAATATATTTTCTGCTAAAAATTTTCAGTGCCTTCGGTTTTTCTTATAATTTTGATTTATATTTTTGTACAGATGTTGGTTAAGTTCATGGATATTTAGAAAGAAGAGCAGTTCTTTTCTATTACTATATAAGTGTATGTAAAATACCACATTCTTGTACGCACTTGAGTATAATTTGTACTAGGGATATACACTTAACTAAAGTATATAAATTTTTCACCAGAAAAAATTTAATGTTTTGAATTTCATGACCTTATATTCTGTCATCTGTTACAGTTTTTTTAATTTTTTTTTTAATGTTTCTTGAATTTTATATCTACTATATTCCTAAATCAGGTTAAATTCAGTAAAAGAATTAAATTTCAATTCACGTTGTTGTCTAACAATATTAATTTGAAAAAATTTTGTTCTAAATTATTTATTAAATATATATAATTATCTAAAATATCCAATCATTATTCAAATTAATGAAAATTCTCTACTTTTATTATATCATTACAATTTTATTTTGTAATTTTTATTAGGAGTATCAAAAGTGTTTTAAACTTTCAATTTTTGTTATGACTTTTTTTTTGGTAGAAATTGTTGCATGAATTTTTGAAATTAGCTCAGCATGCTATTTTCGTTATAAAAGTTTGTTTTTGTGGCATTTATTCAAATCAAATTTATCATATGCTTCCATATTTTTAATGCTGTTTATAGTGTAAATGCATTATAGCAGTCTATGTTATAAATTTTGCTATTTATTATGTATGTGTGTGTTGTTAAAAAGTTAGTAAACATTTTAAAAATAAAAATACATCAAAGTAACAACATTTGCGAAATACAAGAACCACAAAGCAGTTTGAAATTATTATTGTATTAATAATGTGATTTACATTTTTATAAGTAATTTATAATATGAATAAAAATGCCAACAATTTTTAATAAAATATGAATTTTTTGCATCACATCAAGAATTTCCCAGCATTTCTTAAAAACGTGTTGTTACTAGCTCAATATTCGTTCTTTCTTGGAGTAAAAAAAATTTATTAATTATTATTATTTTTTTTTTTTAAATTTGCCTCAACATTTAACAACAAAATTGCCTCAACAGACGACTTTTGCGATGGCAATACAAAAGAGGGCAAAGCTATGAATGGCTGTAAAATTTCCCCCTCTTATTTGTGTTTTCAATCGTACAATCTAATTTCATTTTCACAGGAATTAAATGCGTTATTTATTACATTTCACAGCAAAAAACTATTAAAACAAAAATAAATTACCTATAACATTTGTTAAAATGCCTATAACATAGAATTATTTTTTAAATGTTTCCTGACTTTTGAATCTTTAGTACATGGTTATAATAAATGAATGATTAGATTTATTTATTGGTTAAAAATTATATTTATTGGTTTTGAAAATATATTTTCAAAACCAATAACACAAGTTAATAAAGCATACATGTATATATCGAAGTTTGAATACCTTTTCCCTGTGCTACAGCCATTTGATCTGTACGGATTATTGTCGCAAACGTGTAATTCGTATTTAAACTTGTTCTGACATACTTTGTGCAGTCATCAGTTCTTTCAAAGCAGGGATGCATAACCTTTGACCTGAGGTGTAAAATTTGTTGTAGCTGCTCTTTAACAGTGAGTTACTGATCTAGTTCAGCCTTTCATTGAGTATAGATCTGTAGCCATTTTGTTTTAGTTACAGCTACGGATTCATTGTTTGCAGGTAAATGTTTTTTTTCTATTTTTTTTCCTCCAAACTTTTACAGATAAATTGGAAAAAAAAAATTCTATTTGAAGATATATTTCAAAATTACACCTCCATTCACATGCGAGATCATATTAGTAACTTAAGCTACAAATTTTAATTGAATAATATAAGTTAGCCTATAGAATAAAAATTTTTAAAAATTATTTTTAGTCTTCTATATACTTAAATGTATCGTGATTACTTGCATTATTATCTTATAACTATATTTAGATCTACTTATTATGAATATTTTCATTATCTGTTCAAGAGTAAGAAACTAATACATGTGAAAATCATTCATATTACTTGCCAACAGATTTGAAATACATGTTGCATTATCACGATTGTGCAGCTTTACGTTACTTATGTTAATCTTATGCCTGGTATTTTTTAAATTTTTGTAGCCCAGTATTCAAACATCGCTATGAGCTAATTGAGTGCTTTTTACTCTTATGATTCATGTAATTTAAAAAGTCTTGTGTAAGATTTTTATGAAGAATTTTGAAGAGCATAAGCACGGAACAGGGAAAAAGAGTTTATAAATTTAGAAAAATCAGAGTAATATCAGGGAATTTAATTAAAGTACTTAAAAAGTCAGGGAAAGTTAGTTGAGTTTGGAAAATATTTTTTTTCTTAAATAAATGGTCTTGTAATTTTTAAAAAATAAATTTTTATTTTTAACAATTATAAGTGTTAGCAGCGAGTATAAGTGCTTAGTAAGGTACTGTACATAAAAAAAAGAATGAGGTGTGACTATAAATTTTATAATAAAAATTAAGCCATCGGCCACAAAAATCTGGGAATTTCAATAAAATCGGCCTGAAAAAGTTAGGATTTTCTTTCTTAGTATCTGTGGCCTCCGTATTAGAAATTATATCCATCTCAATCATTAACATTAAAAATGCTCAATTAAAAAATATATGCAATAAAATATTTAGTGTGTTTATTATTTTTTTAATAATTTTAATTTAGCATTGATAATATTTTTGAACATAATTTTTTAAAATCTAATTATTTATTAGTTATAACCCTGTATTCTATGTTTCTGGATGCTGTTTCTTCTATGGTCTACTATGCAATTATTGTTGCTGGTACTGTTGTTCATTCGTCATTGGGAAGTGAACAAAGCTTTTTTGTACCTCAAATTTTAGTTCCAAATGCGAGACAGCAAAATTTTATTTTAATATATTTATACTGTAGTTTGGAAATTCGTGACACTTATTTTTGTAAAATGCTGTTTATTTTTGTACTTAATGATATGAGTATAATCATTCCATTTCAAAATGTGCAATTTTATTATTATTTTTTAAAATCGTTATATTTATTATGTGGTTGAGTAATGTTCCCAGATAAAGGGTTGTGACAGGGTTGGTAGCAAAATGAAATTAAAAGCTACTGTTTTAGCTCTTGAATTAAATTACTAAATCCTTTTTTAAGCATTTATTATTAACCTGTATAAAAATCCAGCTTAAGTAAAGGTGCATCCGTTAACTGTTGCAAACTGCATTAAACTACTACTTTCTGTATTTAAAGAATTTAAATTTTCCAATTTCATTAATGGTTCTTCTTCTTCTTCTTCTTATTTTTTTTTTTTGATAAATGTTTCAGTTGATTCTGAACAACTGTTTTTTTTAGTAATCTTAATAAAATTTGGAGTCAATTCTTTATTCTTATATGGGTTTTCCTAACCCTATTTGTTATATATTAATAGTTTTTGTTAATTTAGTTTTAGAAATTTAAAAAAAATTAATATATTAATGCTAATTTTTGTGCTTAGAGGAAGCATTACTTGGGCACCATTAATAGTTGCAATTCGTATTTTAATACTGTTATCGAAATTTAACTCTGTTATTAAAAAAAAAATAATAAATTCAACAATTATGCAAAATATTCCTATATGCTGACCACTGTAACTGCTCTTTTATTTAATGTAAATAAATAAACTTTTTAAATACTTTTTTTCAATCAATGTGAATGCGATCATTCCATAGAAATTATTCCCCACAATTATCATTTATTATCTAATATTTATTTTTACTATAGGGTGCACATCCCCTTTTTAAGAGAGGTCTACAGGGAAAAAATAAGAGTTTTGGAATTGCAATGAATTTAATTTTTGTGTCAATTAATAAAGATTGATGACATAATTAATTCTTAATGTTTAATTACCTTAAATTAATAATTAAGCAAAATTATATTTGTAATTTAAAAGGTAGTACGTGTATAACATTTTCTGTGTTTAAAATACAGCATCTATTATAAATGTATGACCGTTGTAATATTTAAGTTTTCTACTTTAAGAATACTTTTTTTTTCACTGTATATAATTTAGCTACTCTATTTAATTCTTAAAGAAATCCTTGGACCACTTTTGATTAATGACATGTGATGGTTGATTAAAATTTTCTTCAAAAAATTTTAACTGTCAAAAAAGTTAAGAATTTTTAATACTTTAACATTTTAGAATTCCAATTTTATTTGTTTTGGTATTTTTGAAACCTATTGAATTTTATCTGAAAAATAATTGCAGTTTTTTATGTTTAAGTTATGTAGTTTTTTAGATTATTAGTTTGGTTAGAAGATGGGCATCACACATTGATCATTGAATGATCATATCTGGACTCCTGCAGTTAGTGAACCTCTAATATGGTCATAAAAATGGTTATTACTACTCAGAGCATTACACATGTTTTAATTAAATTTTTTTGCCTATTTTTGATTTCTTTAAAGCTTCCTTTTTCCGGACACGGTTTCAGCTAAATAATGTATTATGTTCAAGAGTTGAAATGGTAACTTTTGTTTCATTGGGCAACCCTCATTTGTGATGTTCTCATTCTCACATTCCAGCTATTCTTGTAAAGTAAGGGCATTTGGAATGTTGTATATTATTAAATAAAACTGAACATGAGGATTTTGAGGGAAAGTAACCAAGCTAAATCATTTTTGTTCCAAGTCTAACATTGTTTTAATTCATAAATAAATTTCCTGTATATCATTTATTTTGAATAAATTGAATTTAATTACCTACTTGTGCTGCTTTTTATTTAATACAGGTGGTTTTGTATGGTGATTTCGATTTACTATGAAATTCTTACTTGACTCTTTTTCGCTTTTCAAAAAACAAAGTAATATTTTTGATTTATGTATAGTTTTAAATACAATTTTAGAAACTTACATTATTTGAAATGACTTAACTAGGTTGTAATATGTGCACTTTTTGGAGGAAAAAATTTTTTAAATTTTTTTATTTTTTTTATAAAG